ATAATCTCACATGTGCTGTTCAGGTTTTTGTAATTTTCATTGTAATAATTTTTTTGTTCACAAAAAAAAATCAAACGAAATTCCGCTTTCCTGATAAAGCCATGTCTTGTACATCTTGTGAACTGCATTTTATAGCGTTCCAGTACTTGATCATTTGAACGCTATGCTTAGTGTTACAATTTGTATACATATTTATACAATTTCCTCATACTTACAATATCCGAAGAAATTGGTTTAATTGCATGCAATAAAAGCTATAAAGCGATCAATAACTGGATGGTGAATGCATTGACTTTTTAAGTCGATGCAGCAAGTGAAAACGAAACGACGGGTAAAAAAAAACTGTAAACGTGCATAAGAGGTTGATCTAAATTTGAATCCAAATTGTTTTCACTTTTTATCTCTTGGAAATTTTTTCTTGGTCAGCGGTGCTTGATGTAAATTTTCGATTTTCAACTTATAGTCCTTGAATCTTTTGTAAAAAAAAAAAAAGGTTAGTAAATTACTAGATGTAGGCGCGTCATAATATTGCCCTCAAAAAAACTATCTAACAATGCTGTAATTACTACCAGCCGTTACTTTAATGAATATAAATTAAATCAGAACTGAATTGCTCAATTTCCATGCTAATTATTTTCTGTTTAATTTTATGTGAGAAATATTTTTTCTTGATTCGTAAATTCTACTGTTTTGCTTGTTGTTTCTTGTTGGTTAAAGAAATTATTAAATCTCATTTTTTATGTACATGCTGTTGCGTATAAATTTAAAGTTGAGATTCGGTCTGGGTGTCTGGGTGCCAAAATAGTCTCATAATTACACCATTGCTTCCAAAGTGATGAATTTATTTAAAATTTATTTAAATTACCAACTTTTAAGTTTATGCAGTGACATGTTGTAATGAAATTTCAATTTTTAAAATACGTCAATGTATTTTATGATACATCTTACTGTTTTGTACCTAAGGCCCCACTTAAACTTATTAATTTCACACTTTTAAATCACAACTTTTCTGGCCCGCTAAAGTGAGGTTTTAGGTACCTCTAAATCACTCAATCTTAGGAATTTCGACAGTTTTGATCCACAAGTTTAGGATTTATGTGTTCATTTTCGTTTTTCGTTTTACTGGCTGAATATTTTGGTCCATAATTCTTTATGATTCTTTTTAATAATTTTTGAATTATGCACTATCAGTTGGATATAGAAGTAACCTTAAAGTATCCAAAATATTAAATTTATTCAATCGGACCACTTCAACCTAAACTTTTTTTTCATTATGCATGCACAAAGCATATATATAGCAATAAAGACAAATTTGAGCGTGTGAAGTTAAATGTATGGATACAGAGAAAGCAGAAAAATTAAATCAATAAAAAAACAATATTGTTATGACGAAAAATATTGACTTGATTTTTATATGCTTTAACAAAAAAAAAGTTTATGGATTCAATTTTTCTAATGATTGACTTTTTGAGCCAAAAAAGTTGCTGCTTAAAGGTATTAAATAGAGATTTGTTCTCTTTTGGAATCATAGAGGTTGATTGGGCATGCTTTGTAATAATTTTTAAGACAGTATAAAGTTTCTTAAAAATGACATTTCGTGAATTTCTCAGAAGTGAAGACTTGAATTCAAACCTTAATTTCATGCTAAAAATTTTAAAAATATCCAAGATATAATACCGTTAGTTGTTTTCAACATCTTCTCTTCTCTTACAATATCTAATAAAATACAAAACGATAAGCAAAAGAAATAAAAGACATTATTACCTTAAAAAACAATTAAACAAGTTTTTATGCTGAAAACGTTTAAACAGCTGTTTTATGTTGTTCCTTTTTCTGCTTTGAATGAAGTTTCAACAACAACTTAATTTTATATTCATCAAATGAGAATTACAGAACCCATTGTTGATCAATTTATGAACTTGTAAATGTTTTTAGTAATAAGCGCACATCCATTGAATCTCGTTAAATTAGAACGACACAATTAAAAGTTAAATTGTTCTTCTTTTCTTCCGTCAATTAAGAATGGACGTGATTGAAGCAAGATAATAAAAAAGTGTTAAACAAAAACAGTTGTGTAGGTTTTTATATTTGGAAAAACAAAAGAAGTTTATGTCTTGTGGCTGGATGTGAGAAATGCCAAAAAATTAAAAAAATTCGTGTTTGTCTTGAATATTTAATTTTTTTGCTGATCATTTCTAGGTTATAGGAGAAAACTGAGAAACATGTGACAACTTGTTGATTGTTTTGTTAACTATGATACAGAACCACAAATCAAAAGTGCTTAAAATGCGTCAAATAATCATATTCAATTTTTGATTGGTTGTCAAAAAGGACACCGTACCTGTGAAAATCGGCTCCCATTCAGTTCAACAACCCCGCTCAGTTTGTCTTGCTCAAACTCCTAAATTATTAATTCACTGATGTCCGCACTTTAATATTAAAAGTCATTTAGGAAATGGCTTATGATGATTAAGCCACAGCTCAGTGTGGAATCCATTTTCACACAATAAAAGAGTAAGAAAACTGAAAAAAAAAAAAAACATTTTTTGGGACAATCCGGATTTCGTTAATTGAATACTAATTGAAAATGCTAATAAAATAGCTGCTTTTCGTAAATGGATCAAGTGACTTTGTTGGCATCTGCTGTGCATTATCAACATGAATAAAAATAAGAAGTTTTCAAGTAGAAATTTTTTTTATAATAACCGTTGTAGGAACTTTTACAAGCTTTTATGTGTCAACTGGCTGTAAATTGTGTACAAAATGATTTCATTGTTGGACCTTGACCATTCAATTTAAGAAAATTACGGCGGTTAATCAAGTTAAAGTAGATTTAAAAGTTTGCCAAATATTTTGTTCTGTTCCGTTTTACTATTTTTGACATATTTTCAATAAAAATTGCTATTAAGATTTATAAAGTTTCATAAAATTTAAACCTGTACATAAATAACTCAGTCTATAAATGTCATTTTGTAACCTTCTTTTTACTATGAGAAAAGTCAGCTAAAGGTGAATGCACTGAACCAATCACATGGTACGAAATAAATTACTAGTTTAATTTACTATTGAATAAAAAAATTCAATCTATAATGTTTATTTCTTAATACTTTTCCAAGTTTTTTCCAGGTTTTTCTGAATTTGAAGTAAGTTATAATTTTATTTCATTACTTTGAACATTAAATCCCCGTATAGCATAGTTTGAGAAACATTGGTCTAGTTCTTTACTAGATGGGAGCGTCAAGTGTCTACTCTGAAAGGTTTTTGACCCTTTTCCCATTTCACAAAATTCATTTCTTTACATAAAGCATCACTAATTAAACAATTTCTAAAATCTTTTCCTGAATTGTAAAATTAAATTTCTATTAAATTTAATTTTCAGGAATAATTCATTTGATTCAATTGCGCATACAAACCTCGATATGGAACAAAGATCATCTCACGATTTTGATAACAATAATTATAAGATTTATAATTTTTGCAACCTTTCGTCATCTCGAAACGACCATTAAACATGAATCAAGAAAAATTATTCCAACTAAGCTTCAAGATTAAAAAATCATAATTGAAAGTTTCTTAAAGGCATACGTTAAGACAAATAATAAAAGCAAAACAAAATCATAATTTCATGTACATTTAAGCAACTTTATTGTCGAGAAATCGTCATCATGTGATGAAAATATAAAAAACGAGCCGGAAGCTTCAATATTAACGTCTTGTACGTGCATGGAAAAATTAAAATTCAAATTTATCTAATTTATTTCCCCAAAATTAATGTTTTGATTTGATTTAGTGACCAAGAGCTGAGCAACTTTCGCTAATTTCCATTTATTTTAAACGAAGTCTGACGTGATGTGCTTGAATTTAATCGAAATATGATTCATCATCATCTTTATTATAGATTACTAAAAAAGCTTGTTAAGCTCATACTATGATTAAGCTCATTCGACGTGATTATTTGCTATTAAAAAATCTTAAAGCATTGATTTATTACTATCAGTTAATCTTTCAGTTTATAAAATTATGAAATGAAAGTGAATTTCTTCTCATCTTACATATCCACAAATAATTTTCTGCCTTGATCGAATCGAATTTCACATAAAATGGCACACATCAATTGACCTTCTTTGCATCATCATCTCTTGATTTCGCTTTCAATCTTATATCTTTTGTGGCAAGGGGTCAATGTTTTCTTTCTTACCTTATGCTATATGTTCTGCTTGTTTGGAGATTCGGGAGATAATTTTTGAAAATAATTGATTTGTTGGATGACATAGTTTGTCATTTGTTTGACATTTGAACTTGATGTCGACACATGTTTATTTAGATACGTTTCTTCTTAAAAACCGAAACATTCACATAATTTCTGAGAGTGTATCATAATGAAGATCTATTGGGAGATTTTTCGAAAAAAAAGAGAAATCCGCTCAATTAAATAGGATAAATAAATGAGTGGAATAAAGAAAACATTCAGCAAGATAATTGGAACTTCAAGTTATTGTTGATCACGCCATCTTTTGAAAATTTTTATAAAACTAGTCATTCTGTTTTCAAATTTTTCTTTATAAACGAAGCTCTGAAAAAATACGAAAATAAAACTGTATGGTAACATGTTATAGTTCAAGTCTCTCGATCAAAATGATTGACCCAACACTTAGTATTCCAGTCAATCACACTTCAAAGGACTTCGATCATCGTAGTTGTCGCTGGTTCCACTTAAAAATAATTTACCATTCATAGTCAGATATTATTTTAAAAGATAGTCGTGTCACAAAAAACACAAATTCAGAATATTTAAATGCAATTAATTAAATCAACAGTTGTTACGGATGTATAAAGGCTCGTGCATATTAAATATCCATAAATTTGTTAAGTGTCCGACTGTCACCAATTTATTATATTAAGACTTATCAGTAAATTTTCATAATACTATCAAATATAAAGGTATAAATGCAGCACAAAAAGTTATTGGAAAACAGTCTGAATTTAAGAATCGTGAAGAAATGTGGACAAGAATTTTAAGTTTGATTGTTTTTTGTTGCATGGCTGTGAAGCTTGGGGATTGTAAAAAGTCAGTTTAGATTATTTTATTGTAAAATTTGGTCTACAATTTCGAAAAAAAAAAGCTTTTTTGTCCCTTCATTCGCTAAGTTTAATAAGTTCATGATATTTTTTTATCTAGCTCATTTATCGTTACTGGTTCGAACACAATCCCCTTTCAAACTAAATATTCAGTAGCAGTGGCATCAACAGGATACAACAAGCCTGAAACTCTTCAAATCAAAATTTATGGAAAATCAGGGAACGAAACAATCTACGAAAATATCAAAAATGTTGTTTTAAAAGATAATGCATTAGAAATAGTGAATTTTGATGTAAGTCTAAGTTTTAAAAAAAAAACAATCCTTTATTCAAAAAAATTTTAAATTTCATAGCTTAAAGATCAAGTACCAGGAAATTACTTCATCAAAGTCAAAAATCAGACATTTAAACAGGCTACCAGACTTCATTTAAATACAAAGAAATTTTCTGTCTTCATTCAAACTGATAAGGCAATTTATAAACCAGGCGAAAAAGTGCAATTTCGGGTTCTTGTACTGAATGCTGACACAAAGCCATTTTCGACACAAAGTGTTGAAGTTTATATCACTGACGGGAGCAACAACCGAATTAAGCAATTTGATAAAGTATTCACTAGAAGGGGCGTATTCAGGCACGCATTGCAATTATCTGATGAGCCAGTTCTTGGTAGTTGGATGATTCATGTAAAAGTCAATGAACAAGATTCAGAAACCACGAAAAATTTTGAAGTTGCTGAATACGTGCTGCCAAAATTCGAGGTCAATATTGTCACTAAAGATAAAGTTTTTAAGGATGATGACATTGTCGTTTCATACAATGCTAAGTATACTTACGGCAAAGAAGTCGAAGGAAGTGCAATTGTTAATGCAGAAATAATAGACTATTATTGGTGGGGAAATCCGGCAAGAGTTGTAGAAAAGTCCTTAGACAACTCTACTAAAACCACGTCCTTAAGTATCAAAAATGACTTGAATTTAGTAAATGTTTACTGGATACAAACCGTTCGTTTAACTGTAACATTCACAGAAGCATTAACTGGAAATCAAAGGAATGCAACGGCAACGGTTGATGTATATGAAAATCTTTATAGCATTCAATTAATCAATTCTGATAACAATGTTAAAGCTAATTTACCATTTACAGTGAAAGCTTTTGTAAAAGATATATACGAAGTTCCAGTAACAGATAACAAGGAACCTATAAACTTTGAAGTAACATATACTTATGAATATCCACCTGAGACAAAAACTACACTAGCTCCTAGCACACCTTCTGATGGAGTTCAAACAACAACCAATGGAGACTTAACGACGGTTCCATTATTTGGTTGGTGGAATCAGTGGATTCCGGCTCCAACTAAAGTTGTGACTTACAAAAAATATTTGAGAAATGGAATGACAGAGCTATCATTTACTTTAGAAGCAAATGTCACGTCAATCAGTATCAGTTCAACATACAAAGGAGCTCACGGATATTCTTATGCTGGAGTCAAACCAACACAGAATAAGCAATTCATTGAAATCAAAGTTCCAGAAAAGCTTCCAATGGATAGAGCATCATCATTAGAAATTATTTCAAACGTTAAAATTAATCGCATAAATTATCTCGTTTTTGCTAGGAATAATATAGTTTCAAAAGGACATATTAAAGGATCTAATTCAAAAAGCTTGAAATTTAACTTCCAACCAACATTTAGCATGACTCCATCTGCTAAAATAATCGCTTTTTATGTCACGTCTGATGGAGAAATTATTTCTGATTATAAATTTTTAAACTTTGATAATTTGCTGCCTAATTTCGTAAGTGTTAATATTTAGTCATAACTTTCAAGTTTATTTTATTTTATATTAACCAACTTTCATTTCCTAGGTAAACATTGATTTGTCACAGTCCGAAACAAGACCAAGCAGTCTTCTTAATATTTCAGTCAAATCTAAGCCACTATCATATGTCGGCTTACTTGGTGTTGATCAAAGTGTCTTGCTTCTAAAATCAGGAAATGACATTGAACAAGATATGATTACTAATGAATTGTTTGGATATACATATCTTGATCAGTATAATAATGATTGGGAAGAGCCCACAAATTATAATTACTACACAGATTTTTCAGCGTTAGATGTATTCATTCTGACAAATGCTAATCCACAATATGGTCGGTTTGATTTGGTAATAGTGTACAATAATTTTAACCATATTAATTTTTCTAGAAGAGATTATCCGCTACAGACCTGATTTCATAAACTCTCAAGGTGCAGGTAATTGATAAGTGCTTTTCTGGAAATTTTTAATAAAAATATTTAATAGCTCCAACAACAAGTACAGGACTTCCTCCTCCTACAACTAATGAAATCATTCCGGAAGTAATCCCAAGTGGTGGTGCTGAAATCGTAACCAGGAAAAATTTTCCAGAAACCTGGTTATTTGATTGTATTGATAAGTAAGTTCATAGCCAATTTTCATCTAATTTTTCAAAAATCAATTTTATTTTTTCAAATCAGCGTTAAAGGAAGCAAGAATATTATAAGAAAAGTTCCAGACACTATAACATCATGGGTCATCACTGGATTCTCAATGAATTTCCAGCATGGACTTGGATTGACTAAGGAACCAACGAAACTTACAGTATTCATGCCATTCTTTATTTCCTTAAACCTTCCATATTCAATCAAAAGAGGCGAGATTATTTCAATCCAGGCAATAATTTTCAATTATATGATGGATGATTGTACAGCTACTGTTACAATGTTCAATGAAAATCAAGAATTTGAATTTGTGGAGAAAACACTAAGTCAAAAAAATTTAATCAAGAAAATTAAAACTAAAGCTAATAGTGGAACTTCTGTGGAATTTATCATCCGTGCATTAAAAGTTGGATATGTAACTCTTAAAATAGAGGCATTGACAGTTTTAGCCGGTGATAGAATTGAACAGAAACTATTTGTTGAGCCTGAAGGAATTACAAGATATATCAATCAAGCTATTCTTATTGATTTAAGAACTCAAAATAATTTTATGAAAACAATCGATATTGTCGTTCCAGAAGACATTGTTTCTGACTCATTAAAGATCGAGGCTTCCCTAATTGGAGATATTTTAGGGCCGACACTCGACAATTTAGACAAGCTAATGTAAGTCATTAGAATAACAAACAAAATCTATTATTCATATTTAATTTGCAGCCAAATGCCTTTTGGTTGTGGAGAACAAAATATGTTGAACTTTGTACCTGATATCATCGTCCTTGACTACCTGACAAGTGCAAATAGACTGACTCCGAATACAGAGACTAAACTCAAAAGTTATATGGAATCAGGATATCAACGAGAACTAATATACAAACGTGATGATGGATCTTTCAGTGCTTTTGGAAAAAATGATCAATCTGGATCAACATGGTTAACAGCATTTGTTGCAAGGTCCTTCAATCAAGCTTCAAAATACATAACTATAGATCAAAATGTTATTTCTCAATCACTTGCTTTCTTACAAAATGTTCAAGCTAATGATGGAAGCTTCACGGAAAATGGAGTTGTTCATCACAAAGCAATGCAAGGTGGTTCATCAAGTGGAACTGGATTAACTTCTTACGTCTTACTCACTTTCTTAGAGAATGAAGAACTAACTGCAACCTACAAAAAAACAATTACCAAAGCTGTTGACAATATTGTCATGCATGTCAGTGAAATCGATGACGTCTACACAATGTCTATTGTTGCATATACTTTGTATCTGGCTGGCAGAACATCCACAGCAGATATGCTCCTGAAAAAACTAGATCAGCAAGCGAATAATACAGATGGAACTAGACATTGGGACAAAAAAACAAATGACTTATATCTTACTTCTTTAAGTACCGAGACATCGTCATATGCTCTTTTAGCTTACTTACAGGCATTTAAAGATGTCGATGCATTGCTTATTGCAAAATGGTTGGTCTCCCAGAGAAATTCATTTGGTGGATTTGAATCAACTCAAGATACAGTTGTTGGTCTATTGGCACTGTCTAAAATAGCTGCAAAGATATCATCAAAAACGTTGAGCATCAAAGTCGACTTAAAATATCAAAATAATATGAAGACATTGAACGTTGATCTTAAAAATGCTTTAGTCCTACAAAAAGTTGAACTGCCATCGACCATTAGAAAGATTGATATCACAGCATCTGGAAATGGATTTACTATTGTCCAAATTTCATATCATTACAACTTAAAGGAACCTAAAATAATTAATAATTTCATTTTGAGCGCTAAGGTTTCAGCAAAAGTTGATTACTTCTTTACGTTAGAAACTTGTGTTGGTCTTAATAACATGAATCAATCGAATATGGCAGTCATAGAAATTTCGACTCCAAGTGGTTACATTTTTGAATCTGAAAGTCTGAACTCTGTTGTTGGTTCCTCAAGTAATGTTAAGGTAAAAAAAGAAAACTTTAAATTAAATTATAAGTAAGGAATTCATCTTAATTTTAATTTGTTTTCAACAGAGAGTTGAGACCAAAAATGGAAATACTTTAGCAAATGTTTATTTGGACTATCTCCAACCTAAAATTCAATGCCTTTATGTTAATGCAACGAAATCGTTTAATGTTGCAGATCAAAAACCAGCATCAATTGTTGTTTATGATTACTATGCTAATGGTTAGTTAAAAATTTGTACAAATTTCTAATACTGGAATTACCTTATCACACAATAATTTCAGATTTGCGCACTGAAACATTTTACACGCCAGCAAAAATAGTTCTGTGTGACATATGCACTCCCAATGATTGTCCTGATGTCTGCTAAAAATTTTTATATTCATAATTTAAATAATCTCACGAAACATTCTTGAAAATACTATTTTTTCTAAAATAATGAAGAATAAAAACATAATATCACTTATAAAGACAAATTTGTTAACTTTCGGACGGGTTCAATAACCTTCACTCTCCATCAAGCTATCCTCGATCTTTTTACGGTTCACGAAAAACAAAAGTTATTAAATTCTTTTATATTGATAAAATTAAGGAATCAAGTCATGTAATGAAGACACGATTGCACATAAAAATATTAATTTGCAAAAAACAATTGTTTCGATAGTAAACCCGGAGTAGGATTCTATAGGCTGAACACTCATTTAAACATCCTTCTCGAGTTTGAAAGTAATTGCTACCTATTTCAATTCCATTTTAAAACATCACGAAGTATGAAAATTGAATCGAACGAAAGTTACTATAAATATAGTGCAGCTATAAGCCAGTATTTAGTTCTGTTTTTGATTTAGTGATGAAAATGCAAAAAATAATTATTTTAGCAGTTTTTCTCTTGTGCTTTACTTTAAAATTTGCACAAAGTGATCGGTAATGAAACTAGTGTATCGGGTAGAAACCCAATGCGGATATATTCACACCGCACCATCAAAAGTCTTATGGAAAGACCAAGATTTTCTCAGCATAAATTTGAAGGGTGGGCGTGAAGTACGGCCGAGACACATATTGATACAGTTCAAAAGTTATACCTAATTTATGTCACAATTATGTCAGCTACAAAAACACTTAGTTTGAATTTCGTCACCCTTGGGAACAATATGAACCAGTACACTTACTTTACACTTATTTGAACCACATTTTCTCGTAAATATTAAAATATTATTAAAAAGGAATTAATCCTGAATTATGTCGCTATTTTGTCAAGTGTTTTAAGATAAAGATTTTGTTTTTCAGTTTCCACAGTGAAGAGTATGAACAAAAATCAGATGGGGTAGTCAAAATTTTAGATTTCGGTTTTTTTTAAGCTATGCATTACAAAAAGTAATATTGGTATGTGATTTATGTCAGAAATATGTCAATTCAAATAAAACATACAAAAAATTTTTTTGACCAAAGTACACCATAGAAAATCAATTTTCAATTTCTGACTAGGGGCGACCCTAGTCAAAATCAATTTTGTCACTTTTTTCTTCGAGGGTTTATCCAAATAGATTGAAACTTTGCATAAACATTCTAGTGCTTAAAACAAATGCAAATAAAACATCCTAAAATTTTTTTGAGCAAAGAACCAAGTAGGAAATACATTTTCAATTTTGGACTAGGGGCGACCCTAGTCAAAATCAATTTTGTCACTTTTTTCTTCGAGGGTTTATCCAAATGGATTAAAACTTTGCAAAAATATTCTAATGCTTTAAACAAATACAAATAAAACATCCTAAAATTTTTTTGAGCAAAGAACCAAGTAGGAAATACATTTTCAATTTTGGACTAGGGGCGATCCTAGTCAAAATCAATTTTGTCACTTTTTTCTTCGAGGGTTTATCCAAATAGATTGAAACTTTGCATAAATATTCTTGTGCTTAAAACAAATACAAATAAAACATTCTAAAATTTTTTTGAGCAAAGAACCAAGAAGGAAATACATTTTCAATTTTGGACTGGGGGCGACCCTTGTCAAAATCAATTTTGTCACTTTTTTCTTCGAGGGTTTATCCAAATAGATTGAAACTTTGCATAAATATTCTAGTGCTTAAAACAAATACAAATAAAACATCCTAAAATTTTTTTGAGCAAAGAACCAAGTAGGAAATACATTTTCAATTTTGGACTAGGGCGACCCTAGTCCAAATCAATTTTGTCACTTTTTTCTTCGAGGGTTTATCCAAATGGATTGAAACTTTGCAAAAATATTTAAGTGCTTAAAACAAATACAAATAAAACATCTTAAAGTTTTTTTGAGCAAAGAACCAAGTAGGAAATACATTTTCAATTTTGGACTAGGGGCGACCCTAGTCAAAATCAATTTTGTCACTTTTTTCTTCGAGGGTTTATCCAAATGGATTAAAACTTTGCATAAATATTCTAGTGCTTAAAACAAATACAAATAAAACATCCTAAAATTTTTTTGAGCAAAGAACCAAGGAGGAAATACATTTTCAATTTTGGACTAGGGGCGACCCTAGTCAAAATCAATTTTGTCACTTTTTTCTTCGAGGGTTTATCCAAATGGATTAAAACTTTGCATAAATATTCTAGTGCTTAAAACAAATACAAATAAAACATCCTAAAATTTTTTTGAGCAAAGAACCAAGGAGGAAATACATTTTCAATTTTGGACTAGGGGCGACCCTAGTCAAAATCAATTTTGTCACTTTTTTCTTCGAGGGTTTATCCAAATGGATTAAAACTTTGCATAAATATTCTAGTGCTTAAAACAAATACAAATAAAACATACAAAAAATTTTTTTGAGCAAAGAACCAAGTAGGAAATACATTTTCAATTTTGGACTAGGGGCGACCCTTGTCAAAATCAATTTTGTCACTTTTTTCTTCGAGGGTTTATCCAAATGGATTGAAACTTTGCATAAATATTCTAGTGCTTAAAACAAAAACAAATAAAACATCCTAAAATTTTTTTGAGCAAAGAACCAAGTAGGAAATATATTTTCAATTTTGGACTAGGGCGACCCTAGTCCAAATCAATTTTGTCACTTTTTTCTTCGAGGGTTTATCCAAATGGATTGAAACTTTGCATAATTATTCTAGTGCTTAAAACAAATACAAATAAAACATCTTAAAATTTTTTTGAGCAAAGAACCAAGTAGGAAATACATTTTCAATTTTGGACTAGGGGCGACCCTAGTCAAAATCAATTTAGTCACTTTTTTCTTCGAGGGTTTATCGAAATAGATTGAAACTTTGCATAAATATTCTAATGCTTAAAACAAATACAAATAAAACATTTTAAAAATTTTTTGAGCAATTGAAATTGAAAATGTATTTCCTACTTGGTTCTTTGTTTAAAAAAATTTAAAATGTTTTACTTGTATTTGTTTTAAGCACTAGAATATTTATGCAAAGTTTTAATCCATTTGGATAAACCCTCGAAGAAAAAAGTGACAAAATTGATATTGACTAGGGTCGCCCCTTGTCCAAAATTGAATATGTATTTCCTTCTTGGTTTTTTGCTCAAAAAAAATTTTTTCATCCAAAGTTTAATTTTATAAAAATCACAGTGAACTTTTAATTTGAAAAATTCGTAAGAAAGGAAAGTTTTTTACTTTTTCTGAAGCAACGGCTGTTCCTAACTTGCCTAAAAACAATACAGCTCTTCTATAGAGCAGCACGGATCAAATGTAAAAAACTAGAAATCTCTACAATGTCTCGTTATTGAGATCTTGCTGATTAACTTGCTTGCTTGTTTGCTTACAGAAAGCGTATTTTGCGATTTTCTCAGCAATGCCATAACCAATTTGAAATCTGTTTTTTGAAAATGATGTAAAATTTCAGGCACAAACTTTTCATCTCTGATCATTTTCGTATCCTCACAAAATTCAAAAAACTGATTTTTCAGTCTGAACAAAACTAATAGATTTACACGTAAAAACGGTGTGAATATAAAAAAAATAAAAACGTTTTAATTTTTTGTGATTAAAATGTTTCGTCCACAGTAATTTCATTGTTACGGGATCAAATACGTTATCATTTCAAGGCAAATATTCAGTAGCAGTTGCATCATTTGGATATTCAACAGCTCAAAATTTAGAAGTAAAATTGTACGGCAAATTAAATGATGGAACGAGGTACGAAAATCGTAAGAGTGTGTCATTGAAAAATAGTGCTGTGCAGAATGTGGAGTTTGATGTGAGTTGAAAACTAGAAAGGTTGGCATTCTTTGGTTGTTAAGGGTTATTGAATTTTTCAGCTTAAGAATCAATCAGTAGGAAACTACTTTATAAATGTTAACACTCAAAATTTCAATCAAACTATGCGACTAAACATGAACACTAAACAACGTTCAATCTATGTCCAAACTGACAAATCAGTTTACAAGCCTGGTGACAAAGTTCAGTTTCGCATTTTAATTTTAAATGGTGAAACGAAGCCTGTTGCAGCTGAAAGTGTTCAAGTTTATATTACTGATGCCAACTACAATCGCATTAAGCAATTTGATAAAGTGCTTTGTGTTAGAGGTGTTTATGCACAGGAATTGCAATTGTCAGAGGAACCTGTAATTGGTGTTTGGGGAATCCATGTCATGATTGATGACAAAGATTCAGGATTTGTAAAAAATTTTGAAATTGCTGAATATGTGTTGCCAAAATTCGATGTTTCTATAGTAACTAAAGGAAAAATTACAAAAAATGAGGACATTATAGTCAAATATGATGCAAAATATACTTATGGCAAAGATGTTGTAGGAACTGCTGTTGTAAATGCGCAGGTAGTTGATGATTGGTGGGCCCCAACTATCGAAAAAACTTTGGACAATTCAACCAAGACAGTATCTTTTAATCTGATGAACGATTTGAACTTATATGTTTATTATACTCGTTCTATTAGAATCACGTTGACATTTACAGAAGCATTGACAGGAGTGCAAAGAACTACATCATCGACAGTTTTGGTTTATAATATTCCTTATACAATTACGATGACTGGATCTGATTCTGTAATCAGACCAAATTTACCATTTGTTGTGTCTGCTTCTTGTAAAGACATTAATGAAGTTCCAACTACAGATATTCGAAATCCTATTACATTTAGCATTACTTATACATTGAATGAGTACGATACATCCAATTGGTATTATTGGTGGTGGCAATCTTACAAAAATATTTACGAAAATCGTCAACTCTACTTAAACAATGGAATTGCTGACTTGACACTTGACGTTACTTCAAATGTAACTTCAATTTCGATTTCAACAAACTACTTAGGAGCTTACGGATATTTCTGGGCAGAAGTTAAACCAACTGAAAGCGATCAATACATCTCAATTAAAGTTCCAAGTGATACAATTTCTGCTTCAGCAACAACTCAAATTGAAATCCTGTCCAATGTGAATATTAATAGTGTGGATTATGTAATTTTTGGTAGAAATAAGATAGCAGCTAGTGGACAATTGAATACTCTCAACACAAAGTCCTTTCAACTTAATTTAGTTCCAACAGCAGAAATGATTCCATCAGCAAAATTGATAGCATTTTATGTCACGACTAATGGGGAAATTATTTCTGACTATAAAATTTTAAATTTTGATAACGAATTAAGGAACTTCGTGAGTCTTGACTAATGTTCAATTGTTTTTAAAAACAACTTATAAACATTTTTTTGTTATCTAGGTTAATATTGAACTATCTCAAAATGAAGTTAAACCTAGCAGTTCTGTTAATATTTCCATTAAATCGAAACCATTGTCTTATGTAGGATTACTGGGTGTTGATCAAAGTGTATTGTTGCTTAGGTCAGGAAATGATATTGATATCAATATGGTTAGTGATGAAGTTGCAACTTATTTGCCCGTGAATCAATATAATAATGACTGGAGTGAACGTATAACCTACAATTATTACAGAGATTTCTCAGTTTCCGATTCTTTTATAATGACGAATGCTAATCCAGAGTATGGTAAGTTTTAATGGTTGCTGGAAAAAATATTGCATCTGGTAATTTAGATATGGAGTGTAATAAAGTTTTTATTGTTTACAGTACGACCCTACATTTATCCTAGTTTTCCAACATATCCATCATATACTTATGAAAGTTCAGAGTCTTCCATGTTCTTCTCTGAATCAATGGGTAATAGAAACAATTATTTTAAATATCTTTAGCTTACCTGAAATTTTTAGCTCCTAGCTCGTCAGAATTCTTCCCAACTCCTGAAATGTCATTTGCAGAATCGAGCATGGCATCATCAGAAGCTCAACCAAGCTCGGAATCAAACGGTAACGGAATACAACCAATTGTTACAAGAAAAGAATTCCCCGAGACTTGGCTCTTCGACTGCGTAGATAAGTGTGTCAATCTTAAATTGATTTTCAAATATTCAAATTTAACTTTATTTAACTGCATTTTTAGTACCAAAGGATCTGGAACTATCGTAAGAAAAGTTCCAGACACCATAACATCATGGATTATCACTGGATTTTCATTAAGTTATAAAGATGGTTTAGGATTAACTAAACAATCTTCAAAGCTGAGTGTGTTTATGCCATTCTTCATCTTCTTGAACCTTCCTTATTCAATTAAAAGGGGTGAAATCATCTCAATTCAAGCAGTCATCTTCAACTACATGAAAGATGATTACCAAGCTACTGTAACAATGTACAATGAGAAACAAGAATTCGAATTTGTTGAGAACACACCAAGATCATCTGATCAAGATAATCTGATTAAAAAAAGCAATGCAACAGCTAATAGCGGTAATACTGTAAGCTTTGTTATTAGGGCTTTAAAAGTTGGATATATTACGCTTAAAATTGAAGCTTCAACTTCTATTGCCGGTGATAGAGTAGAGCAACAATTGCTTGTTGAACCTGAAGGTATCACAAGATACATTAATGAAGCTGTTCTAGTTGACTTGAGAAACCAGCATACATTCTCGAAACTTGTTGACGTTGTTGTACCTAATGAGTTTGTTCCTGATTCTTTAAAAATTGAAGCTTCGCTTATTGGTGATCTTTTGGGACCAGCGCTAGACAATTTGGATAATTTAATGTACTTATTTTGATTATCTCAAAGTAAAATTTTAATGTTCAATTCCTATTTTAGTCAAATGCCTTATGGATGCGGTGAGCAGAATATGTTGTTCTTTGTCCCTGATATCATTGTTTTAGACTATCTCACAAGTGTCAACAAATTAACTCCACAAACTGAAATAAAACTCAAAAACTATATGGAAGAAGGGTATCAAAGGGAACTTACATACAAGCATTATGATGGCTCATTCAGTGCCTTTGGAAATAGTGATCCATCAGGATCAACATGGCTTACAGCTTTTGTTGCTAGATCTTTTAATCAAGCTTCGAAGTATATATCCATTGATCAAAATGTTATTGCCCAAGCATTAACTTACTTGCAAAATGTTCAAACTACAGACGGAAGCTTTACTGAGTACGGACTTGTTCATCATAAAGCTATGCAAGGTGGATCATCAAACGGAATCGGTTTGAGCGCCTATGTCTTACTGACATTCTTAGAGAATGAAGAACTTGCTTCTAATTATAATGACACAATCACAAGAGCTGTTAACAATATTCTATCACATGTCGATGATGTTGATGATATCTATATTATGTCAGTTGTGTCATATACTTTATATCTTGCTGGCAAAATGTCTGAGGCAAATTCCTTAGTTCAAAGGTTAGATCAAATGGCAGTCAATTCAGAAGGAATGAGACACTGGGAAAAATCTACTAATGACTATTACATAACGTCATTAAGTATTGAAACTACTGCCTATGCCCTTTTATCATATCTTAAAGCTAATCGAGATACTGACGGTCTTTTGATTGCAAAATGGTTAGTGACACAGAGAAATTCATTTGGAGGATTTGAATCGACACAAGATACAGTCCTTGGTCTCCTATCTCTCTCAAGAATTGCTGCAAAAATTGCTTCCAATTCTTTAAACATTCGAGTTGACTTTAAATATCAAAACGATGCAAAATCTTTAAGCATCGATCAATCAAATTCATTAGTTCTTCAGAAATTAGAATTTCCATCAAGCCTTAGAAATATTGAGGTAGTAGCAAATGGAAGTGGAACTGCACTCGCTCAGATATCTTATCACTATAACATTAAAAATCTCAAAACATCGAACATCTTCCAACTCAATGCCAGAATTATTGATGATCAACCTTATGCATTTACAATTGAAATTTGCGTTGGACTTAATGGAATGGATCAATCCAATATGGCAGTCTTAGAAGTATCGGCTCCTAGTGGATATATTTTTGAAGCTGAAAATAATAATAATATTGTTAATTCATTCAGCAACATTAAGGTAAGTCAAGTTTAATTGAAAATCTTCTTTATAAATTCAAAACAAAATCTTTTTTCAGAGAGTTGAATTCGACAAGATTAATACTTTAGCTAACATCTACTTTGACTATCTCCAATCTGAATCGCAATGCATCTTAATGACTTCTGCAAGAATATTTGAGGTTGCCGAACAAAAACCTTCATCCATCGTAGTTTACGATTATTATGAAAATGGTAAGTGATTATTTAATATTCCAAGAAGAATGATTTATTATTTTTTATGATAATATTTTCAGATTACCGCACTGAAATATTGTATGTTCCAAATCAAATTCTGTTGTGTGACATTTGTGATTCGAGTGATTGTAGCAATGCTTGTCATTAGATGCGATTAACATGAATAGTAATTGTCAATATCAAAACCAAAATGCCCGTTAAAAAGAAAAATCTAATTGTTGATAGGAATTCTTAATAATTTTCGAATGTTGTAATTCCTTTAATTTTTTCAAATTGTGAACACCCATTACAAAGGTTTTTTATGCCGTTTTAAATGCCAGAGATGTGCTGTGCATTTAAATCGGCTTTTTCCTTTGACAAAAGTACAATAATAAATAATAATAATAATAATAATAACATTTTCATCAATTTTTGCAAAATCATAAAATCATCTGTTATTAGCTCTTAAAGCATTGTAAATGTATTGAAATTGATCTATTCTGAACTTTCTTATTTTATCGATTTGTGCTTGAATAAATTCTAGATCACTGACATAAAATTTTATCAAAATATTGATTAACTTTGACCTTGACTGGCAAAAATCGCTAATAACCTTCAATACTACAAAACCTTAAACTACTTCTTATTGATAAGAATACACAATATTTTTTTAAAAAAATCAAATCATTTTAAATTGTGTTTGTATTTCAACGTTTATCCACTAAAAAATAAAAATCATTCACATAAGCTTTTCATTCAGTATTAGTCAGTCGTGCAGTTAAGATGTTGTTTTGGATGTTATTAGCTCTTATAGCTACCATAATTTATTTTACTGATAAACATTTTCACAATTATTGGACACGGCATGGAGTGTTTCAAAAGGATCCAACATTCTTCCTGGGTGCAGTCAGTGAAACAATTCTTTTGAAGCAATCTTTTGGAGAATTCATTACAAATAATTACACGAAATTTAAAAATATCCAAAAAGTGTGTGGAATTTATTTTGCATACCGACCAGCTTTGATTGTCAATGATCCAAAATTAATTCAAGATGTGATGATTAAAGACTTCAATAGCTTTCAAAATCGTGGCATTTTATTCAACCATGAAGTTGATCCATTAGCTGCACATTTATTCAATCTTGAAGGACAAAAATGGCGGGACTTGAGAGTCAAATTATCTCCAACTTTCACATCAGGTAAATTAAAAACAATGTTTCCAACTATCCGAAGCTGTGTCAAAACCCTAGAAGACTATTTGATCAAAAGTGTGCAAAATGGAAAAAATGTTCTGAACATGCGAGACTTAATGGCTAGATATACAACAAATGTGATATCTTCTGTAGCTTTTGGAATTGATAACGATAGTATTAATGATCCTAATAACATATTCCGTAAAATGGGATTAAAAATTTTTCAGGTTTCAATCAAGCAAGCTCTTATCCAAACTTTACTATTTTTTGCACCGGCTCTAGTTGTGAAGGCTAGAATAAAACTTATTCCAAAAGATTTAGAAGATTTCTTCATGACAATTGTGAAGCAAACTATTGATCATCGTGAAGCAAGTAAGGAAAATGAAAGAAAAGATTTTATGCAGCTCATGATACAGCTTAAGAATCAAGGTTATTTATCAGCTGATAAAGATGATGATGAGAATAAAAAAAGTAATAACAGCGAAGATGTAAAAAAATTGACATTTAATGAAATAGCCGCTCAAGCATTTTTGTTCTTTGCTGCAGGGTTCGAAACATCAAGCTCAACCATGAACTTTTGTCTTTTCGAATTAAGTAGGAATCCAAATAAGCAGAAGAAAGTTCATGAAGAACTTGATAAAGCTCTTAAAGACATGGCCATAAATGACATAACTTATGAGAAGTTGAATGAATTGAAATATCTTGAGTGCTGTATTGATGAAGCTTTAAGATTGTATCCTATTGTTCCTGCACTAATTCGAGAGTCAACTAATGACTACAAATTTTCGACCAGTAACTTAAAAATTGAAAAGAAAGTGCCAATTATGATTCCAGTTATGGGTCTGCAAAGAGATCCATGCATTTACGATAATCCAATGGAATTCAGACCTGAAAGATTTTTGGACTCAGCTCATGGAAATGGAAAGGTTCAAGGATTATTTTATATGCCATTTGGTGACGGGCCCAGGTGAAGCTTATTAAAAACTTAATTTAATTATTTTTCATAAAAAACTATATGTTCATAGAAACTGTATTGGCGCTCGGATGGGGAAGCTCCAAACAAAACTCGGACTTGTTGCGATCCTATCGAAATTTACATTTGAACTTGATGATAAGAAGTTTTTACACACAGAACTTGAATACGATCCACGACAGTTCGTGTTGACACCAAAACATGAAGTTATGTACAAAATTTCATCTCGTGTCTGACTTTATAAAATATATTTGAATATATTGTAGACTCATGCTATAGGTATCAAAAATATACCAAAAAAAAATTAAGTCATCAAACCTTAAATGTTGTGTTTCATTTTCAACACATTCCATTTTTTATGTGTTCAAAAGTAAAAGTATGCAAAAAGTGTCAACAGTACCTAGCGGTTACTTAACTAAGTATGTCAGTGATTGGACGAGAACCGGTGTTTTCAACCTGATACATTCGTTGATAAGGGTTGTTGACGTTTGTTCTATTTCATTAATAGTTTCTCCTACACTTTTTAAAATAGAAAATATCAGTATCTGACAATAAAATGATCATTAATCTTTTTTAATTATCATGTTTTCAATAGTTCTTTGTCACGTTATTTGTGGCATTATTTGCAAATTCTAAACGCGAAACTTTATCTAACAACGCATTGTTGGTTCAGTGGTAGAATGTTCGCCTGCCACGCGGACGACCCGGGTTCGATTCCCGGACAATGCAGGAGCAAACTTTTTTGCTTTGATTATTTTTCTTTATTTTGTACAGGATATGAATAAATTATTTAACAAATATAACTAGGGGGCCGTTCAATTATGACGACCAGGAGGGGGGGATCAGCAAAACAAGAACAATAGAAATTCGGTGAAAACTTGGAATGCTACGAGCTATAGTTTTTGTCCATACTTTTAAAAATGTTTAATTAAATTTTAAGGCAGGAGGGGGTCTACGATTTTGTGACTGCTCAAACAAAGGAAATTTTTTCTTATAAATTGGTCAAAACCCATGTTTTTGACGGACGTCATAAGTTAAGACCCCTTTAGAAAATTTGGTCTTTTACATATCAATTTTGTCTGTCGCATGACATCAACAATTATTAAATTATTAAATACGTAAAACTTTTTTAAGTATAAAATATAAAATTTCAATGATTGACAGCACCGATGCGCCGATGAAAAACGCCATAAGGCCGCCAATTTGAGAAATTTTTTCGCTCATCGTCATGTCTTCTTTTTCCTTGTGCCTCAATATTTTGTTGATAAAGTGATCATCAGTGAAAAATAAATGTATTCGACTCATAACAGATTTAGGAAATTCATCATCTAAAGGAGCATTGTATGCCTTAAATACTCTTTTGTAGTCAAAATCTGCAGAACTTGTGTCGACTTTATAGTTTAAGTTCTTACACGATGGCATACAGTCACACAAAAATTCTGACTTGAAACGTTCTGTGATGAAGAAAGTGTTCATGGTTTGAATGACACATCGAGTATCCTGTTGACTGCAAACTTTTGTTTCATTCTTATGAACCATTGAATATTTTATGCAGCCACATTTATTGAATACAAACTTAGAGAAACATTCAGTAAGGCAGTTCTTTTGTGAATATCCATTAAAGAAATCTAGTGACTTTGTTGCTGATGTGTGGCACTTTTTATTAACATTGATCTCATCTGTGGACATTTCTGGTTGAATTGCAACAACCACATCACTATTTAAAGCCACTCGAAAGAATCCATTCATCATTTGTGGATGTTCGTCTGATGGATGGACATGAATTTTAAATCCTTGAACAGGCCCTTTGCACATAAAGTCTAAATCTGAAGTTTTCATGTTTAGAACAACATTAAGTCCATAATCGGCACCAGGTAATGCTCGTTTTGGACACACATCAAGATCTGATGAGCAATACCCTTTCTCTAAATTCCACTCAACTTGATCTTTTGGATCATGGTTAAATTTGCGATAAAGATCTTCATAATGCATCATATTAAATGTATAGCATATTCCATCATCCGTAATTGACTCAGTAAACATGTCCGCGCAGTCTATAATTTCATTTCTAAACTTACAGAACAAAATCATTTCATTCTTTGGCACGGCAATTTCGCGTAGAATTTGTAAAAACTCTTTACCTTGTGTGGGCGAATCATTTTTTACGTTCACACTCGAGAACAAATGTGGATCACAAACTTGCGTGAGTGCTTCAATATACGATAGACTGAAAACAAAAAATCAAAAGTCATAGTTTAAATGAATTTGTTGACATTTTCATTTTTGGTGAAAAAACTTACTATTCTTGATCATATTGATACTCAGTGAGGTTGTAAATTATGTTATGATATGCATCAGTGACGTTGACGATTGACTTTTTTGCTTTTGTCTCGGGACAAATTGTAACTGCGGGAAATGGAATTTGGAATAGAGGAAGCTTCTCACTAATTTCGACGATTGTTGATTGATTTTGATTTATAAATAGAAAATAAACCATAAATATCAGCGATGTAATTATAGCCAATCCCCAAAATATTCTTAAAATAAAAAAAAAATAAGTTGTCAGTTGAGACATTAAAAGGAAGTCTGAATAATGTTCATTAAAAAGATTTAAGTGAAACATAAGTGTAGATACGCACTTATGGGTGAAGATGAAAATTTTTGTAAATGAATATTTCAAATAATTGATTGGGTTATTCTTGATTGACATCTAGAAGTGATTTGATTGGAAAATTAAGCTCACTATGCTAAGTCAATACAAATTTAGGTATTCTTATACCATTACATTATAAATGATTTAAATAGTTTTAACTTACAAAAAGTAATTCCAATTCATAATCTTCCATCACTTACTTTTCATGTGTTTTATGGCTCGTTAAATACTTGATCCCATGCATTCGCCCAATTTGGAAATAACTTTGCAACGAAATATCTTCGCTCACATTATCATAGTCTTTTGACCTGTAAAAATCACTTAATCAAATTACTGGCGCCAGTTCTTATTTTCAATTCAAATATTATCATGTAAAGAACTAAAGTATGTTTATCACATGCTTTTCACATTTTTTTTAAATATCCAAAAAAATATGATTATGACCTATTCAGAGATTCCATAATTACGTGCAGAAAATTTCGCAAATCTTAAGTTCACGAAATATCTCAAACGTCTGAGTTCTTTAAATTATTATTCACGACTGTGAACTGTCAAAATGTGTAAAGATGATTTTTGTGAAAAGTATGGGATTTTATTTGTAAAATGTGGTCATGTAATATTCATGATTTGTCTGCTAGTTGTAAACAAGGGTCAGACACTCTAACAGAATTGTAAGGATTGTACAATCCTTCCTTACAATCCTTTCATACGAATTGTGAGGATTGTACAATCCTTACAATCCCTACAATCCTTTTCATATAAGGATCTCCTCTTTCTATATGAAGATTGTAAGGATTGTACAATCCTTACTAAACAAAAAATAATGTCCATTTATTTTTAAAAAATAAGATAAAATACAAAAAATGAAGAAAGTCAGAAATTTCTTTGAAAACAATTATATTTAAAATGCAATAATTTACCGTGAATCAATTCGAATGATTTTTTATACATTTCAACTCATTAAAAAGTTGTAAAAAGTATAATTGTGAACAGGGTGAGTGATTTAAATCAAAAATCAAAATCAAAATCTTTTTGCAATGATTTTTAAAAGAGATTTTGATTTAAATCATTTTTGTATGGGGATTTTTTTTTGGGATTTTGATTTAAATCTATTGTATGGAAGATTTTATTGGAATTTAAAAATCCATCGATGTAAAATTTTTGTATTCGATTTCTCAAATTATTTTTCAAATCAACAGTTTTCAGTTGCAGTTTTTAAAGTAAGAATGCAGTTGATCATTTTTTGGCCAGAATCTTGCAACTGGATCTTTTAGATCCAAGCAGTTCTTAAAGAAAGGTTACAGCAACCAATGGTTCCATGCTGTTTGACTGAAACGAAATCCAATTCGTGATTTTTTATCTTCTGTGCCTTGATGTACGAAAGGAACCGGCCATTTCCGCAAAAAATTTTTGATTTCAAGAGGTGAATCCTTGATGAAAAAGCAACAAAAAAATTTTTTTTGTGGATGTAAAGGAACTAGGCAGTTCAAGTGCCTATTCTTGCTTATGACTCATTAAACTAATGTGGTGTAATAAAATATATTTAAGTTTTTTAAAGGATTTAAAGCAGGTAAATCCTCATATGAAGTAAGATCCAGGCATGCTTGATGAAGTCCAGTTATTTATATGCAAGCAGCAAGGCACAGAAGATTAAAAATCACAAATTGGATTTCGTTTAAGTCAAACAGCATGGAACCATTGCTGTAACCATTAATTAAGAAATATTTGGATCTAAAAGATCCAGTTGCAAGATTCATGCCAAAAAAGGATCAACTGCATTCTTACTTATTAGGAACTGCAACTGAAAACTGTTGATTTGAAAAATAATTTGAGAAATTGAAAACAAAAATCTTACATGGAGGGATTTTAAAATCCCAATAAAATCTTTCATGCAAGAGATTTAGATCAAAATTTAAAAAAAAATCCCTTTGAAAAATTGATTTAAATCAAAATCCGTTTTTTAAAATCATGGCAAAAAGATTTTGAATTTGATTTTTGATTTAAATCACTCTGGTTTAGGGTGACCATCTGCGTAGTTTTACTACGGACAGAATTGATATAAAAAGTTTATTTCGTTCTTTAAATTCAAACAAATAAATTTTTAATATTAAATTAATATTTCTTCTCTAATAACCAATAAAAAACATTTTTATATGTTCCATACATTTATTTCATCCTTACAATTTTTATATGGAAAGGATTGTAAGAATTACAATCCCTACAATCCTTTCCATATAAAGATTGTACGGATTACAATCCCTCCAATCCTTCTCATATAAAGATTGTAAGGATTGTAAGGATTGTACAATCTTTACAATTCTTCCATATGGATTGTGAAGAATTGTACAATCTTTTCAATTCTGGTAGAGTGTCTGACCCTTGGTTGTAAATCATGGTCCTTCGTTTATTCAAATACATTTTCAATTTCAATGGATATTTGCATATCAGACTGAATTTGAAGGAAATAAGAATATATTTTTTTTTTCTTGCTTGACGAAATCTAATTTCTAGTCAATCACAAAAAGCGTGTCTATAGTTCACGCATGTATAGAGATGAAAAAGTAAATTCAATAAGTTAATTGGAATAAATGGATAAATGTAAAGTTGATTTTTTACTATCACAACTATTTTGAGACAGTATAATAATAGAAATTTAAAAACTTTAATGATATGAAAAAACATATCTGACAGATTTTTTTGTGATCAGTTTTGAGTGGTTCTGGGTAATTGGTTTTAGAATAATTTGGCAGTTGAAGTATGAGCTGATGTTTTAATTTTTCGGCACTATTTGGGTTTTACTAAAATTTTTATAAATAAATTAATTTTGAATCTGATTCCTTCGTTCCAAAATGATTCCAATTTTGATCGCCATTTAGGTTATTGGAAGAACCAGTCCTTTCTTGGTTATGCTTCTCTTTTGATTGTTGTCTTCATCACTACTGCTATTACTGCTTGTATTTTTATTTTAGATTTTTTTTGATGTTCTTTTGTATATTGTCAGTATTTCTCTTACCTAGGAATTGTTACTTTCGTTACTATTATTATTGCCATCATTGTTATCGTCATTTCTCTTGTATCTATTTCTCGATTGTTTCTCATGTGTCATGACAGCTTACAATGATGTCTGCTTCCGATAAGTTATTCCTAGGTTACTAACACAGATTCTTCTGTGTCGACTAAAGAGAAAATAAGTTTTGAAATCTACTTTGCCGACAAATTTTAAACTTTTTTTGTCTAATAGTGTTCACTGCTCTTCACTTTATCATTGTCTGAACAAAAAAAGATTATTAAGACTTCAAAACCTGTTGCAACTGTAATTTTATTTCTTTTTTAGCTTGATCTTTTGGTGATTTTTAAAATTAAATCAACAAGTTTTTCTCTTTTTTTTTTCCTTTTTCAACAATAACTTACAAAAAATAAACCAGACTAAACATTTTGGATTAAACATTTTCTAATTCGTTTAATTTTTTATTTTATTATTTTTTCACTTCCTTTAATAGACTTAAAGGCACAAACAATTACAAGCATTTTCTTCATTTTTTTAATAAAAAGGTAGAAGTCTATCATCAAAAATAATGAAATTCATTAAAGTTTCAAAAAAAAGAAAAAATAGTTTTTGTTAAGTTTTTTAAGAGAGTTAATTATATTAATTGATTTAACATATATATAAAAGAAATTAATAGAAAACATTCATACGTTTCATTCACAAATTTGGCATCTATATAAAATAATTATTTATTAATTAATTAATGTAACTTTCGATGAAGACGACGACAAAGAACAGCAAAAATATTGCTTTGTTAATTTTTTATTATTTTTTTTTCTCCTTAATTTTTGATCATGTCTCTCCTAAGTACAGCAAAAATACTAAATTAATTCAACATTCAAGTTTAAAATTCTCTTCTTGTTAGCTAAAGTGTAAACAAATTGAGTTTTGATATTTCAATTTTTTTAAGAGTTTTGGGGGATAAGACTTTGAATATTTCTTTTGTTATGCAATTGCTGAGTCCCCTGTAAACATCCATCTTATAATGCAAACAATCCTCTTAATCTCTAAATGTGAAAGTGATATCATTTAAAAATAAATAATTCGCTAACAGATTAAACTTGTTTTTATGTATCGAAATGTTTAAATTTAATCAAAGGAAAGATTTTTGAATGATATTTGATTCTGATTTTTAACAAGGTTTTTTATATGAAATGTAAATGAATTCAAGTTTTCCGATATTCGATTGATCAATTCTTGTAATCTTAATTAAAACCTTAAGTGCATTGGAAGAATCAAATTCACAAAATTAATTTTCCCTCAATATAATTCAATTTTAAATACTTAGGCATTGATTTTTCTATTACTATGTTATAAAATCGACCGAAATTTCAAATGAAAATTAGAAACAAACATTTTTAATTGTAAAATGTGCGCTTTTTAAAAATTTGTAAAGTTAATTTTGTTATAAAATGACTAAAATAGTTTTCACATCTTTTTTTATACTTCTTCAATAGAATTAATGCAAAAGACACTTGTCATAAGGCCAATTTACTGTTAATTTAGTTTTTAGAAGACACAAACTTTTTTTTTATGTCTTACACAATGACTTTTTTACACAAAAATATTATTTGCAAAATTTTTGCTTCTCCAAAAAAAAAAATTTCCCATTATAAAATCGCTTTTTTTAATTACCATGCTTGTTGTATTTTGGATCTACAAATCACATTTGTGATTCAAATAAAAAAAATATTATTATGGCAGTTTGACAAACGATTCCAGATCGATGTCAAGTTGTTGAATACAAAGTTTATTTTCCAGCATACGTTGGATTCTTAAATGTTGATGTTGCTTGCTTGTAGATTGGATTCTCACCCTTTTGAAAAGTGGATATAAGGTTAAGCAGTTGATGAAAATAAAGAGTTTCAGCAGGACTTACCGTATCCCATTTGGCCATCATTCTCTCTTTCTCGAATCTTGCGAACTCTCTCCTGTCGTGGATTGTTGTGAGGAGTTTCCACAGAAGAAGCATTGCCATACCAATCAGCACTATTGCGGCAATGACACCGAGGATAATACCAAGTAAAAATACTTTTGGTGGGCATTCTAGATTTTCTTGCGCGCGAACCTTAAAATTAGACAACGAAATGCAATCTATTGTTTAGGATGCTTATCCTTAAGGTTGAACTTTCTACTTACATGTAATGTTACGGTTCCATTTTTTTCAACAGTTTCGTTGTAAACAAATTTGTAACGACATTCGTCCTCGTCGTAGAATTGACAAAAATGTTCATCTTTCTCATCATCCACTATAGTTGAAATCATATTATAAGATGCCTTCTAATAAAGTATATCCAACAAAATACTTACGTTCAACTTGTTCCACAGAAATCGGAGTGAACAAAGTACAATTTTTGGCACAATCTTCTGGATCCTTCAATGGTCCTTTTTTGTACATTTGACATTCAACGCATGCCTTCAATTCTTCGCAACGTTCTGGACATGTTGGACATTTTTCGCAATATTTTCCTGAATATCTTACATCTTCCTTAATATCACACTCACAACGTCCACATCTGCACGTTCCATGACCTGAACAAATTTCTCCATTTGGTGCTCTGCATGTATCAACTGAACTGCTGCATTCGCAAGCTGGTCCTTCCCAACCTTCATGACATTTACAGGTTCCACAATCACAATAACCATGATCTGGTCCAGAACATAAGATTGAATTATGACGATCGCATGAAAAGTTATCACATTCACAAAATTGTCCAGTTATCATTTCCTCTGGATTTTCACGTGGATTGCAATGGCACTGACCGCAAACACAATTACCACGTCCACTGCACTCGACATCTGTTGTGTTATCTGGACGACATTTAAAAGCATCAAGGCTTGATTCACCTAGATCCTTATTATTACATTCACAATTACGTCCAAAGAAGCCATCATGACAATCACAAATTCCACAAGTAAGAGTTCCACTTCCTTTACAAATTGTTGAATCAACTTCAAATGTTGGTCCACTAGTTTCACAATCACATGAACAGAGCATTGTAAGATCAACTGTTAATGCCTCACCAACTCCAACTGGATAGATTTGGAAGGTTTGATTACGATCTTTCAAATCAGCTGGACATGATGTGACAATGATTTCTGTTTCAAAAGCAACAACATCGCCGACTTTAAGGCCATCACATTTGCTTGTTTGGATTCTTGTGTCTCCCAAACATTTCGACCAGTATGTAACTTTAACGGATCCTGATGCTGTGTCTTTCATTTCGACAGATGATGTGATTTTCTAAAAGAATAAAAATAATAATTAGTTTGAGAAGCTATTGATCTAAGTTGAGGATCAAACTCACATTATATTCATCACGAACTAACTCGACAACATTTGATGAATCTTCTGACAAAACAGCACTTGATGATCCTTCAATATGTTTTGATAATTCTCTATAAACTTCATGTTGCGTTTGAGTAACAGCAAAGATGATGTTGATGGCATTTTCCTTAACTTTCAAATTAATCTGAGAGATACTTGGATAATCTTGGATTGTTGAGTGCGTGTACATATCATTGGCCATGTGGCAGACACCATCATTTGGTGTAATAACTCCACCTAATTTACCATCTCCAGCATAATGGAAACCAGCATCTGTTGAAAAAACTAAAAGACGACGAGCTCGTTCACGCCAACCAATATTGTCTTTGCATACGACTGCTTGCATGATAGCATCAAAACCTCCCTCTGGAGCATCCAAGTTACCTGACACATGGGCATTCTTCACGTTTTCCTGATATTAAACGAAATTTTTTTTTATTTTTTATTTTTTAAGGATTTACAAGCAAGAGTTTTAAAATTGGAGTTAGTAACAAAAGTATTCAGCATGCCAAAAACTAATAGGATCCATCGCATTATAACAGCAAGCAAAAAAAATTCAAAATTTACAGCAGTCATGCATTTAGGAAGAAGCAAACTTTATCTAGAAATTGTGAGTCATTTTGGGGAAGTAAATGTCATACAAAATACCACAGTTATAATTTGATTAATAGCACACCAAAAACCACTTGATTATTTTTCATTTTAGTGAAATTCCCATTCTTTAAAAAAAAATCATAACCATTGAGATGCAAAAAAATTAATGAATTAAATAAAATCTTGTAGAATTCCTTGATGATTTAAAAATTATGAGATATGATAAATTAAAGAAATTTTTTATGTAATTTTTTGGTACGTTTTGTCAGTGGGCAGTCTGTGTAATGATGATGATGATGAAACCAACCATCATAAGTAGCGGAAAAAAATTAATTGCAATTTAATTTTTAAAAAAAATTAGGACTGTGAGTCATGGCAAAAAATGTGTTAAACTTACAGCAAAACGATATGTGTCGGTACTCAATGCCATGACATTGTGGTAACCGTAAGGAGCTTCGCAATTTTGACATGGTTCTCTCAAACTTTTTTTTTTTATTTTATAGAGTTATGTTTTTGATGCGATGAAAGGGAATAAGATATATGAAAATTAAGATTATAAATTTTTTGATAGTCGAAAGAGATTATCACGATGATAATTAGTTCATTCAACTCAGCTTATGACGATTTTTATGTGCTATGTAGGTTTTTGATTCGCTTGATTATGCGGCATAAATAAGGAGTATAATAATTACAACATACATTTATAACATCTATTGATTATCATGCCCAACATTCATAATTTATTTTTTTTACATCTGGAAATTCTTGCAATTTATGCTGATTTTTATAAATCCTTTAAAAATTTAAAGCAAAAAATTTCGTTAAATTCAAAAATTTAGAAACTCCGTTACTGATTTAAAAAAAATGATTCATTAAATTTTTATAATTTTGAAACACTATTCAAAACTCTGATGAAAATGTGAATATGAAAAACTTAAAAAATTCAAATTATTTAAATTTCCAGACATAAGCTATATCCTTGTTTTTGAATTCTAACATAATATAGATTACAATTAATAACACAAACACAAAAGTTATATATAATGTTCTCTTGTAAAACATTCCATACGTAAATAAAGTAATGAGAAAATAATAATTGGAATAAAAATAAAAATAAATTTTGAAAACATAAATTCCGTTAACCGTACATATCTAAACTCATATTTAGAACAAAAACATAAAGAAATAATAAATTTGGTATATAAAAATAATAAAAATATGTGTTTTACATAAAATTTAACGACATAGTTCGTACAACATCCAATAGTAATTCAATTTATAGATAAATATGTTCTATAAATAGTAATGGTAATAATGATAATAAACGCAAGAACTTAATTAAACTGATTTAAGATGTTATCTGCACTTACAGCAAAGCGGTTTGTGTCAACACTTAGCGACATGTGATTCTTATAGCCATACGGCGCTTCACAACCATCACAAGGTGTCTGTAATCTGCAATTTGTTTTTGTAAATCGTGTTCGAATAATTTAAAATTTTTTTTTTATGTAAAATTAGTAGTTTTTATGTATGCTGATGTTTTTGAATGTCTATCAATTGCTGAGTTGAGCTGAAATAAAATTTAATTCCAAAAAACATCAAAAACGACAACTTACTTTTTTGGAACCGTTGAGACATAAGGCATAAGTACTTTGTCTACAAATGAACCGAAGCCGAGACGGAAGTTGGATGTGATGTTTCTCATGGTGTCTGAAAGTAAGTTACCAAGAAATGACAATTTATCCTTGTCGTCCTCCATAGATTTTGACAAGTCCATAAGATAATAGAGATCTACTGGATAGTCTTCAGCCTGTGCATATCTTACTGTCATACTGTGTTTTTCATCTAAAATTATGAAAAATGTCGTTTTTTAAAAAGTTTAAAAAGCGTAAAAATTCAAATCTGATAAAAAATGTTAAATACTTACTGACTCTCAATTTTAAGCCAACATGCTGTGGACTGACTTGCACCACACCACCACTGGCACTTCCTGAAGCACTTCCAGAAGCAGATCCACCACCAGATGCTGAACCACTACCAGACATTGAGCCTGAAGCATGTCCCTCACCTTCATAGCTTCCGCCACTTGCCATTCCACCACCCGTAAGTTCATATCCAGCTCGGCTGAGTGCCAATGCTTTGTACAAAAATTCTTCATTATCTGGATTGACAACAAACTCTTCAGGACATGGAGTCGCTGGTCTCAAGTCAGGTTGAAAACATCTAGGACGTTCACCAAAGTCAGGTTGCATACACCATGCACACTTTTGTGTCTGTATACATGTACTACATGAAGTTTTACTTGTGCATGGATTTTGGGTGAGAGGAACAGGCTTGTCAAGATTTTGTGAATTTATAACTACGAAATTGCTCAACAGCACCGATGCGAGTAGGAGTATTGAGTATCTGATCATTTTAATGTGGCACTTTATTGATAATTTTGTTCTTCTTCAATGGAGATAATCTAGAAAAATTGAAACACACATATTTATTTTTCTAGAAATATCTCATTGTAATCCATAAAATATGTTACTGAAGTGTCAGAATGTTGAGCACAAAATTATAGCTCATTATGATAATTTCTTTGAAAATTTTTATAGTAAAAAATTTCATGTCACGAATTTACTTATTTTATTTTGGGTAGACCATTAGCAACACTTCTCCTTTAATAAATAAACAGATTGATGTTTTCAAATAATTTGCAGTTTATCTATCGGTAATGTTGAGTTAAGAGAAAGTATGGATGTGTAAGAGATGCGGTTGTGTTGATTAGGAGACTTTTTACAGTTTAAAATTTATACATTAAAAATCTTTTGTTAAGAATAATAAAAACTTTGAAATAAATCTTTCTTTTTTTCAAATTTGGAATTATTGTAGTTTAATTTACATTTCTTTGAGTCTTATTCTTTTGTTAAATCGATCATGGAATGTTCAAAACTTAGGTCAAATTATTTAAGAATTACATATTGAAAAGCTGTCCTAGTAATGAAGATTTGAAAAAGATTAATAAGTTTTTTAAAAGAAACAACAACCTTGAAAAAAGCCTCTATTCTCTACTTTTGAAAATTGCACACTTTTGAAATTTGCACACTCATATGATTTTTTCACCCCCCTCCCCCCCTTGTTACAATATGTTACAACTCACACCCCCCCCCCCCCCCCCCGAACGTTCATAATTTATTTTTTGTTGATAATTTTTCGTGAATTTGTAAACAAATTTTTTTCGTGAACTTTTTTTTAAAAGACAGACGACAGTAAGAACGTTACATACTTCTTGACACCCCCTCCTATGTTACATTTTGTTACAATTTTTAAACCCCCCCCCCCCCCTCCCCTCTAAAATGCGAACGTAATAAGTGAATGGCCCCTTATTTAATGATGAATGATAGGAATGTAATCAGCTTAAATATGAGATATCCATTTCAAGGACTTGATTCTATAGTTTTACATATAATGGATCCTGTTTGATTTCATGTGCCTGATTTTTGAATTTTTTTCTTCAATTTTCCTATTAATTTTCAACGATGATGCATGTGAAGATGTTAGAAAAAGAAATCAGTAATACTGTTATTAGATTTGAAAATTACCAGATGAAAATATTATTTCTTCTCCCAAAAAAATAAAAAAAAATAATTGTTTACATCAATTAAATACAAAAATGTCATGGATTGCTATCAAAAAAGTGTGCAAATTTTAAAACTTTTTTGTGCAGAGTTTTAAAATTTCCATGCAAATTTCAAAAGTCAAAAATAAAACGCTTATATCTCTGCTGATATCCATCGTAGCTTTCAGAAAGAAGTTGCAAATTAAATTTCCACAATTTTCAAAAGCTCAAACGTTATTTTAAGCCTTAACAATAATCTGTTGAAAAGTTCCAAGCAAATGAAATTTTCATGTGCAAAGTTGTGCAAATTTCAAAAGTATTTACCCTATTTAATTTTATTTTTAATTCAAAAATCTAAAAATCATGATGAATCACTTTTTTCTTTTCGAAAATCTCTTCTTGTGCTGTTTTCATACTATAATCTTGAAGATGAATTCATTTCGATTCTGTTTAAATGAATGAAAAAGTGTACTCTGACATCACAATCACTGAGTCATTTTTAGTTTCTGTTTACACCTTTTTCCTTTCATTTACATTAAAAATTATTCCTTCATTCGTTTTCATTTTCATTTTCTTCCATTATGAATGATAAAAATAAACAGAAGAGGTAAAGCATCAATATAAACAAGAACGATAAAAGAATTAAGAAAATATGTTAAATAAACTGGTTTTTCTTATGTCACACAAGCTGATAAAAATGTCGCAACTTGGTGTTATGATTTCTGTTGTTTAAAGATCGTGATGATCGCCATTAAGTCATTAAAAAGACTGTAATATCTTTAATGTAAGTGTTTTATGGATTTGGGAATTAAATTAATATGTTGAAATCGTTTTAACAGACGGAATGCTCGGAAGTGAAGTTTTAAAGAAATTACAAGAAGAAAAAAAATACTGAATTTTTTGACCTGTCTTCTAAAGAATTGACAATAAAACAAGCAATATACAGCACAAATTGAATATTCTATCGATGATTTCACCAACAAATTTATATTGTTATTGAAACTACCGACTTCACATAAACCCTACCATAATTTCACAAATCAGTCAGAATATCACAAGAAATGTTAATGCGGGTTAACGTATAATAAACACAGATTATTTGTGTAAATAATGTTATATCCCATAAACAGCTCACATACAAAAATAAAAATCAATTAAATAAGGGAATGCCCTTCCTTTTATGCTATAACATTTCACTCTTGTTCCTTTATCATGTCATATGTCACAAGTCACGAAAACTTAAAAGAGCAAGTCATATTGGGCAAAACCTATTTTTGGCAATTTTTATTGTGTGCGCTTAAATCACCTGTACGATTTTTGTGTCTGTTTCACTATTTCATTCGGCAATTTCATTTCTCATCATCGTCAACATTCTAAAGACATAAAATGAGTCAACGCCATGTTTCCGTTGAAAATTTATTGAGTTTCTTATAAATCCAAATGCGCAGCACACAAATGTGCAAACTTGCTTACTATCGATATTGTTGTGTATATGACATCATCGGATTTATGTGGAAGCAACTTTATTTTCTTCATCGGTTTAATTATATTAGTGTTGATAATTTTTTGTTTATTTATTGATTGTCTTTTGAATAATCTTTTCGTGGTATAGTAGTGAATATGTTCAAGAATAAAAATGGTTTAATTGTTTCCTGGTGAATTTTGTTGTTAGAATGCTTTAACTTAGTCATATTTTAACGTGTAAACATGTAATTAAATGGTTTAAGTTTATACCCTATATATGGTGCAAACTAAACTCAAACAAATATCCGAATTCCTCACATTTTTACATGTCTTCAAATTAAGAACCGTATGAAAATTAACTTAAACCCTAATTTTGCAAGTATTCTGAGAATTATTGGCCAAAATATATGATTTTTTTGATCATTCGTTCAATTATTCATCCTTAATCAGCTGTTTTCAATAGAATTTACACAGATAGTTACACATTGCATGACTTTACAATACAAAAACTGACACAAGATCGGAAACGAAACTTTTTGAAATTATTGCTTAAACAAGTTAAATGAAGAGGTTCAGTCTGATTTTATTGTTCTAGATGCAAATTGTGTACTCAATGAACATTTTTACTCTTATATATAAATAAAATATGTCTTCATTCTCACATCTGCAATCAGTTAAGCTTTGCAAATATTATTACAAACCTGTGTAACTTAATGCAAAATAAATTTAAGTAAAAAGTCATGAGAATCATCTAATTGTGCATAGTTTGACATCAATAAGATAAGAATAACAAGTCAAAATGTTCGTCAAGTCTCGTTAGAAAATAGCATCCAAAAAATAAGAAGAATTGGTATTATAGTAACATTATAAACAAAGCGTAGGTCGTCTACAGATGTGTGTATCGTAATGTGACATGAATGAATGTGGAACTAAAATTTTTTGTGGGTGACAAAAAGAGAATAAAAATCGATCAGCAGATCTTTTTTGAATTAATTTCACTTTCTCAATCAAATCAAGATGGACCCGCATTAAGAATATGTTTATAAATAAGTTAATGACTCCTTCAAGCGATGTTCTATTTATATTTGTACAAGATGAATGAATCACTTATGAGAGAATTTTACTTTATGTTTCCGCCAGTTTTCTCATTTTTCTCTTGACTTTGTAGGCGACGCAATTTTTTTAAATATTTTCACAATTTTTTCACATTTAGGTTTGAAAATTTGATGAAAAAAGATTTTAATCCAATAATTTTCACTATAAGTTGCACAGTTATGCAATTTTTATGGCACTAAGTGTGATCGTTTATCAAGAATTGCAATTTTTTATCACCGCTGTACATGAAATTTTTTCCATATAAAGAAGTTTTTTGATCACTTTAGTAACACCCAATTTTCTATTTTCATTTTTCACTTACAATTTCTTAAAATTTTAAACAATTTTCAGAAATTTACGAAAGCATCTATGTGATTAAGGATTCGTTAACGATTAAAAGGATTTTCGACTTGATAAATACTTAAATATTAATAAAATTTGTGCTCGCGACGTTTCTGTGCCACTTATAAAAATTTGCTTTCTACACAACACAAAACTGTTATAATTTATGGCAAACACAAGATCCTCAGGGATAGTCGTGAGAAAATTGAACCAAAAATGTAAACAAAACCTGATTATGAATGGAAAGTTTAAATTTACTTTTTTTCATAATTTCATAAACTTTTATTGTTTAATTTGAATAAACGTTTACATGACACTACGAAATATTTAAAATTTATTTTGAAGTATTAACAACAATGAATTAGTTGGTTTGAAATTTAAAAGTTTGTTAAAGCTATTTATGAAACTTTTATAAAATTTTTATAATAAATCATGAATTATTCGTGTTGGATATTTAATATGTGAGAAATTATTAATAAACCGAGATAGATTAATAATAATTTTGCAGGACTTATTGTTATTTCGAAAAAATGCACACATATCAAATATGTAAGTGCATAAATCCCCATACCCTTATTATGTTCATTTTAATCTGAAAACAAGCGTATTGTTCTATTTTGTTTTAAATTCTTTTATGTCGTTAGTTTAAACAAGATGAATTAAATCTCTTTCATTCCAGCGAATGTAAATCAATAAAGCACTCAATAAATTCGAATGCTATCTTTTACGAGAACAAGTTTATTTTTTTTTTGTTATATAAGACTTAAATTGGTTTCGAGCAAATTGCAGAGTTGGAAATGTCTTTTTTGGAATTACAAAAATTTTTTGATCCTCACATCTAGTTTTCATAAACATTTGTCAACGACTTAAAACGTGTGCAAGAAATCTACAACCGTTGGATCATAATAAAATCTTCATAAGGAATTTGCAAATCTCAAGGCCATATTCGATCGCTCAGCTTTCTGCCAATCAGATTTTCTAGTCGAATTTATTGTGTACACATGTAATTAATGACTCATGCTGTGGCTTTATTTTGATCACAGCACAATATGAGAAATTACTTTAAGATGTTACAAACAAGACGTTTTGACATGGAATAAGCAAATTCAATTGGATTGAGTAAGGTATTTAATATTTTACAAAGGATTAAGCAGCAGAATTGAATTATTTTAACTTCTTCGTGATTGTTTCATAAAATTGAATGAATAAACTTAATAAATTTGACTCTGGATTTTTAAACAATCGCATATTTTTTCTCTAAATAATCAAAATAATCCCTAAACCATTTGACTCACTTTCAATTTCAGCAAAAGTGACTCACAGCAAATCAATTCTAAATTTTGCACCAATGGTTAAAATATTAAATTAAATAAAACAAATTTTTTTATAAGAGCTTAAAACTTTTAACAGTAAGCATTAAAGCTTGTATTTTATCCTTCTTGCAAAAGGTTCCTGACAACATCTTCACTATACATTATCAATGTTTTTCATGTAATTTAAAAAAAAAAAACAAAGTTTGTTTGTCACAATTAACAAAAAAATTCAAACTCGTTATGATTCAGCAACAAATTGATCAATATATGAATCCCATTGAACTTTCTGTTTAATTTTCTCAAAAAGCTAATAACACTGTTATGATCATTTGGTTACTGACTTATTTTTAATACTAAGTAGAGAGAAAAATGTTTTTAAGGAAACATCGGAAACAACATAGAAGAAAACTCAACAAGTATGATTTGAACTAGAATTAGAAGCTCAACAATATTCTTTTTAAATTTAAAGAAATTTTGAAGAATTCTGTATTTTCTTGAGATTTAAAAAACTTTTAATAATCGGTCAGCAAACAAATATCAGCGACGACAAGCAATTATTATATTATCTGCCAGAGATAAACGATTGCAAAAATTGTCAATTTTAAAATTTAATGTCCCAAAATAATCTGGATAATGATTTGTTAATAATTTCATTACAAAAGGGACTTAATGCATCTATCAGTTGCCAATCCATACTTTGAAGTCAACTGTAGTCTTCGTAGTCGATTCTATCAATTGCAACCGTTGTAAACGATTTACAGTATAAAAACGCTTCAATAGATTCATTATCTTAAGATTTAAACTAAAATTCTCAAAGAATCTGCCAATATTATCCAATAAAATTTACCAGCTGCACAAATTTTCTAATCGTGATTTTTCAATATTTAAATTACGCTACTGCTTTAATTTAACCAAAATTTATGAAATGCTAGGACATTCGGCTATTTTTAGTTATATCACAATCTTTATGGAGTAACAACAATTTCTTCAATTCCGTCACTTCCTTCTTTAATTGTGATATTTCCTTTTGGGACCTATCATACTTATCTTTAATCGCGAGACTCTGAATTTTAATCTTATTGCGGTATCTTCTTGCTGCTTCTCGGTTTCTCTCAATTTTTAAGGCAACTGAATCTAGCTTTGTATTGCTTTTGCTACTACTATCTTTATTTGTTGGTACTGTTCGCTTTTTTGTACTTGATTCCAATTCAGGTTTTTTGATTTCCAATGGTTTTAAGTTTATTGAATTGCTAATGCCATTGTTGCTTGCTGTTACCCTTAATTTACTATCTTCATTATTGTTATTGCTAATTATAAAATTTGCAGGTGAAATGAGTGGAACCGTCTGTATGAGAATGGCGGGAAGGTTTGAGTCTGAATCCATTTTTATTCGTTTCGATGCATCAGTTATAGTTGTCGTGCCTGTCGAGTTATTATTCAAAATTATATTCTTTAATTTATCTTTAACACTTTCACTGGATTTCGCATGGTCATTAAGAGTACTATTTAAATGCATTGAGGCTGTGTTTGTGATAATCGGTGCTGAATACATGATATTGGGTTTTGGTAAGAGAGGAATTGGTTGAAGGTGTGATCTTTCCACAGGATGATGATCATGATGATCATTGATTGTATATTTAGGAATGTCAGGTGTTGTTGATAAATTTTCAGGTTCATCTTGAATAGGCAGAAGTACTTCCTGCTTTAACTTCTCTTCTTTAATAACACGTGATATAAAATCAGGTATAATTTGTGGTGTATGTAGTGTATCTTGATTGGATGATAAGGTTGTTAAATATCCACAATGATGATCATCGTTTATTGCTTTTCGGAAACCCTCATCAAATGGATTTAGATTCTGGATATATGGATCATCAAAAACACGCAATTCTTCGCATTTGTTTAGAAGTCTAGTTGGAGTTGGAGTTTGATCAGCTGCAATTATACAACATGAATATTAGTTGATGTATCACTAATGTGGGAGAACATCAAGGCAAGGCAAGAGACGACGATTAGGAAAAAATATTTTTGGTGACCTTTAAGTTTAAATTTTCTTTCCTTCCTTCTTCAAACTTACAGAAGCTTATTGTCGCATCTTTTGGTGGAATATCTAAATTTAATTTATTATGCTTCACTTGTCGATGAGCTGAAAGATTTTGTTCTGTATAGAAACTCATCTGACAACCAATCTCGTTGCAATGAAATGTCTCACTAACATTGTCATTCATTTGTAGTACGGATTAATAAAAAAATAGTTTTTTTTCTTCTCTTTTTGTGCTACGAAAAAAAAAATATTATAGAAGGAACAAAAAATCAAAACAAAACACATAAGAGTGAGTTTATGACACATACAGAATTAGTAGAAACTGTTATAAATGTTGAACAAAGCGCTTTTTAAGGTTGGTATTTTCCAATTCTATGCTTGCTGAAACTTTATGGTCGATCGACCTTGGTTTGGATTGTCATAAATGAGAATTTCAAGAAGTTTTAATGTTTCTTGATCAGACAAGGTTTGATAAAGGTATATTCTCAATTTTAGGCGCGTTTGATTAAATATGCCAATATAGACTAAACTTATCACAGAATTACATCCATTAAGAAGAAAACATTCCAAAAAAAATCCAATCCCTCAACAACCGCGCTCAAACATGTTGCATAAAATGTTCACTAAGCTCTCCAACAGTTCCTCTCTGAGACTAAAATTGAGAACTTTCATGTATCGCAGAGACAATATCCTTTTGTGCTGTATAGGAGGAAGGAAAAAGTTTTTCCTAATTGTAAAAAGAATCGATCAGAAGTGAAAAAGGGACGTAAAATCTGTGATGTGATGAAAAAAATTAAAATTTAATACACTTATTTGAATTTAAGTGAATTAAAATTACCAATAAAAGTTTATAAGTTGTAGATTGTCACGAAAATGTGGAAATTCATGACAATTATGAGTGAAAAGTTGTGAAAATGTACCAAAAATTTTTTCCTTCTTTTTTCGCTAAAAGCAATGTCGCAATGCAGATAAAAATTTGTCTACAAAATCAGTGCTAGCGTTATTAAAACTCATGGATGATTAAACCTTTTGAAAGTTAATTTGTATTGAAAATTTATCACTTTAAATTGTGCAATTTGGAATGTCTAAAGTTATAAATTTTCATGCAATTTTATAGGTCACAAAGAGTAGCAAGTTTTTCATGTCAATCTTCTTTTTTCCTTCTCCCCAATTTAACCAATTTTCTCTCCTTTCTCTTGCAATTCTCAATTTTCTCTCACACAACAGAAAACATTTTCCGCGCGCCCGAGAAAATTGCAATATTATTAGTTTTGCTCTCACTCGCATGCTTTTGCCAGGCTTTTTTATTTGTTGTTGATTTCTTGATATGAATACATTACTATTCGTACATCTTCTGTCTATCCGTGTGTCTCTTCATTATTTTTAGATAAAAGAACATTTTTTCACAATTTTGTGACTCTGTTTTAATATTTTCGGCTACAACTTGGCTTCAACGTTTGGTCAATATAATCAGAAAAATTCTTAATGCTCAGCGAAGTGAATATACAGTGGCAAATGATTTGTGGTCGTATTGCGTAAATATTTAGGAATTTTTTTTCCTTTGTTTTGAGAAAATATGATGCTATAAAAACCTTAAGAATGTAAAATTTTGACTAATTTCATTTAACAAATCATACAATTTTTGTGAGTGAAAAAGTTACAAGGAAAAATTTCCAAAAAGAAAGTTTTTAAAATAAAAAAGAAAAGTCAAATAAAATTTTCTAATCAACAAGGCAGCATACAGTTGGAATAATCATCATGTATAGCGATAAATTGCCAACAAATTGGCTAATAATTTCAATTGGTAAGTTTTAAAAATTATGTTTCAAGTGAATAAGTGGCAAATTAATGAAATTTTCTTTGGAAAATTTTACCCCGAGAGATATACAAATTTTCAAACTATTGTGAGATTCCGTCGGTAATTTAAAATGGAATTATTAAATCTATTCCTCTTACATGTCGCTGTACTTATCAAAAGCGTCATAAGAATAAAGATGTAGTCATTAAGTTTATTTTATAGTTTTTTGAGTTTTTTCTGTTTCCAAACGATAATTTTACATTAAAAGCAATTATGAGTAAAGACGAATAAAATTGAAATAAAAATAAACCACAATATAAAAACGAAATTCAATATGAAATTAATTGTCATTTTCCACCCCCAATGAAAATGTCGCAATAATTTAATTGATCGAGGCGTAATAATTAAACACCATAATTCAATATCTCTTTAAGTTATTTGTACAATATTTGATACCGCGTCATCTGACAACTGTTTTCCATGTAAGTTGATTTTTTTTCTGAGTTAATTTTAAGAGTGTTTTTTTAATGAGAGGATGTGGAATCAATGGAGGTTCTAAAAGATTTAAAGGTTCACAATTAAAGAATTTATGACTTTTCTTAGCAAAAAGCAAAATTCTTTTAAAGAAATCATCCAATTTGACACAATTTCAAATTGTTTCAAATAAGCTTTAAATTTAATCAAAATCTAGAATTTTAATACTTTTACTAAACTCTAATGAGAATTATTAGCCGAAAACATTTTATTCATTAGTCGCTTTGGAAAGAATAAATGATTTTAAATATTTTTATTAATTTTGTTTATAATTCGCTTATCTAAGTTCAATCATGTTAATAATAATATAATCAAATAAAGTAATAATCAATGAACAAACACAAAATGTATTAATATTAAATCTCAATTTTGATTTTGAAATTTATTTTAAAATTGATAAAAACTTTATTAATTCCACATTTCTACGTATCATGTAAATTTTTAACTCAACCCTGAACTCAACTGTTTAGTTCTAATTTAAACCAAATCTTCATACTAATTCTCCGCTTGATTGTCACTTTTTGGTTTAATCTTATCTAATTCGCCAATAAAAACTAAATGAATATTTACATAACAATTGAGTGATTTGAATAATGTTTAATTTATGCTATACAGTTAAGGCTGTGAACAAATTAATATACTTAATGCTTCATTCTGATGCTAAAGTTTTATGAACAATAAAATTCATTTGTGCTAAATTATAATTGTTGTAATAGTTCAGATTAAGATTTTATATTTCTACATATCGTTTTAAAATATCCAATTCTGCGCTAAATTAAGCCTTCAAAAGGATGATTCTTTTATCGATGCTGTCTTTCAATAAATCTGAAGTTTTTTCACGGTTAACATTAAGTACGAAATTTTCAATCATTCGTTGTAAATTAAATAGAGATTTGTCTACACATTTAAAGTTTATGCAAGCTAAGCTCTGTAAATGACATAGTCTTCTCATACTCACTTTTGAAATCTAAAAATATTATTTTTTATTGAATTAAAAATACATAACTGAAAAATTTGTATGTATAGACGTGTAGAAAAATTTAATAGAAACAAACAGCATGTGACAAACTCTTTCTCTAAACTTTTCTCTGCTCAGTGAGCGTTTCCTCAGTAGAGAGATGGAAAATGAGTAAATAAGTTAGCAGTGATTTACCCATAATGATTGAAAATGCTGTAAACTGTATAAAATTGTGAGGTTGATGTGAAACATAAAGGTCAGTTATGTGGGTAATTTAATTATTGACAGGAGAACAGATGGTGATAATGGAATTATCATAAATTTTCTGCATTAATTTATATGGCTTTTATGAAAACATGAATTTTTACTATATGTTGTAGAAACTCTTTATATAAACTGTATAAATATCAATACAATTTCTATAGAAATATTTAGTGTTGAACCTTCTCTTTTCCCTCTAGTTCTCAAGTTTTTTGTATGGAAGTGCAACACTGCGATTATTTACTTTTACACACATCTCATCCAGAACCTCACAGACTGATGAATCAAAAATTCCTGATATAATATTCATACGTAGCTAAATAAGCAAACATTTTCGATCTCACAAATCTGAAAATAGCCTAATAGCTTCAATCACTTACTCGTATTGAATATTAATAAATCAAGAGTTGAAGGAAAAGAATATTAAGTTATATAAATTTATTAATCTGTATTAAATTTTGGAATTTGTCATTTAGAGTATTTTTTATGCAAGCTTGGTTAAGTTTATTGCCATTTGGTGGCTGATCGAAATATTGAGTTTATTATGTGAAAGTCTATACTCAAAACTGAACACGAGCATTTCATTTAATAGCTCAAAAATACCTCAATTTAAAAATCCCTAAAATGCAGCTACCCTAAAATGCAGATAGTACTGCCTAGATGCAGATGGTACTGCTAAAGTGCAGATGAAATTTATTTTCCCTAAAATGCAGATGAAATGCTGTTGCTTTAAAAAGGGTATAATGCAGATAATTTTTATCGTATAAAGTGCAGATAAGATGCTGCATAAATGTAGATCGTATAGTTTTAATAAAATAAATATGAAATGCTGTTATAATGCAGATAATTAAACGTTCGATATTAATTATTTGGGCCCGACGAAAAAAAAATATTCGTGAGTGACGCTATGATTTCTTTAATATCTCCGAAACCACAATAGTGACAAATTTCAAAGTTATTTTATCTTGTAGAAAACAAAAATCGATTTCTTTTGACATAGAACTCATTTTCTAAAGTTAAGGAGTTATGTCGGAAAATCAGAATTAATTTTGTTATTACTTTGTCAGCTTTCATTGATATATCTGCAAATGTATTTTTTATATATTTACACCGTTTTCACGTGTAAATCTATTTGTTTTGTTCAGATTGAAAAATCAACTTTTCGCATTTGGTGAGAAAACGAAGCAAAATTGGTTATAAAAAGTCCAAAAAGAAAAGTTTGTGCCTGAAATTTTACGTCTTTTGCAAAAATCAGATTTCAAATTGATTGAGACATTGCTGAGAAAATCGCAAAATACGCCTTCTGTAAGCAAACAAGTAAGCAAGCAAGAAATCTCAATAACGAGACCTCGTAGAGACTTCTAGTTTTATACATTTGATCCGTGCTGCTCTATAGAAGAGCTGTTTTGTTTTTTGGCAAGGTAGGAACAGCCGTTGCTTCAGAAAAAGCAAAAAACTTTCTTTTCCTACGAATGTTTTAAAACAAAAGTTTACTGTGATTTTTATAAAATTAATCAATTGGGTCAAGTATCCTTTTTATGAGCTCATCTATATATCTTGCAAAAATGTTACATGTCGTTTAACAACAAAACTAGTGTATCGGGTAGAAACCCAATGCGGATATATTCGCAACGTAACATCAAAAGTCTTATGGAAAGACAGAGATTTGTTCAGCATAAGTTTGAAGTTATAAAGCTAGCAAGTCAGCTGAGCTTCGCTCGGCCTAAATTTGAAGGTATAAAGCTAAACGAACATTCTTCAAAAGTTTTTTAAAAAAATTTTTCATCCAAAGTTGAATTTTATAAAAATCACAGTAAACTTTTGTTTTAAAACATTCGTAGGAAAGGAAAGTTTTTTGCTTTTTCTGAAGCAACGGCTGTTCCTACCTTGCCAAAAAACAATACAGCTCTTCTATAGAGCAGCACGGATCAAATGTAAAAAACTAGAAGTCTCTACGAGGTCTCGTTATTAAGATTTCTTGCTTGCTTGCTTGTTTGCTTACAGAAAGCGTATTTTGCGATATTCTAAGCAATGCCTCAATCAATTTGAAATCTGATTTTTGCAAAAGACGTAAAATTTCAGGCACAAACTTTTCTTCTGGGACTTTTTATAACCAATTTTGCTTCGTTTTCTCACAAAATGCGAAAAATTGATTTTTCAATCTGAACAAAACAAATAGATTTACACGTGAAAACGGTGTGAATATAAAAAATACATTTGCAGATATATCAATGAAAGCTGACAAAGTTATAACAAAATTAATGTGATTTTCCGACATAACTCCTTAACTTTAGAAAATGAGTTCTATGTCAAAAGAAATCAATTTTTGTTTTTTACAAGATATAATAACTTTGAAATTTGTTACTATTGTGGTTTCGGAGATATTAAAGAAATCATAGCGTCACTCACGAATAATTTTTTTTCGTCGGGCCCAAATAATTAATATCCAACGTTAAATTATCTGCATTATAACAGCATTTCATATTTATTTTATTAAAACTATACGATCTACATTTAGGCAGCATCTTATCTGCACTTTATACGATAAAAATTATCTGCATTATACCTTTTTTAAAGCAATAGCATTTCGTCTGCATTTTAGTGAAAATAAATTTCATCTGCACTTTAGCAGTACCATCTGCATCTTGACAGTACTATCTGCATTTTAGGGTAGCTGCATTTTAGGGATTTTTAGATTGATGTCTCAAAAATGTTTATTTTTTTTTGAGATTTATGAATGAAGAAGAAGCAAAACTTCTGGCATCAACTTCATTTAGAAGCTTCTCTCTTGTTTCCGCTTTTCTCCCAAATGTTTATGATTTCTTTTTTGTAGTCACACACTGAAAATGATAGAAGTTAAGTTTATGAAATTTCATCTCTGTTTGCTTTTTATAGACGTTATAAGAGATAATTCAGATGTAATTAAAAAATCTTTTAAACAAGTCAATATTTAGGAACATTTGGCAAATGAGTTAATTTTTATTCAAAGAAACACTCGTAAAAAAGCTACAACATAAACTTTGGTTGAGCGAGGAATTTTGAAGGTTCCTTAAGAAAATTTGGAAGTTACTAACATTAACTTTAGGCCTTAAACGTAATGCATTATTTAGTTCCAAATTTATCACTTTTTTTTTGATCAGTTATGTGAATTTCATGTGACAATTGTGTTAACTGCTACGTATTTCAGGAGAAGTTTTATTTTCTTTTTTTTTGTTTTTTGTTTTTAATCCCTAGCGAGACTAACTAGCAAATTGCTAGTCTTTCTATTTTACTACTTGCAATTTACTAGTAATTATTAAAACTTACTATTAGAAAATTACACTCGCTATTTACAAGCAAATTACTAGCAAATTACCATGTAAAATGTTTGATCAAATCTTCTTAAGTTCGAATCCTACGAAAATTCATCAAAAAAAGAATTTTTTGCGTCAAAAAAAATTTTGTTCTAAATTTGGCATTTGCCATATACTTCACAAGAGCGCGCAGAAATCACCTTTATAAGGTCGATCCAAATTTGTATGTGACTTCAATTAATTATTTATCTTCCTCAGGTTTGCGTGCGAGTCAGAGGCGTTCATCAGTGTTCGACTTTATTAAATTAAGTCTTTTGTTTTTTTATCATAGTGTTAGTGTACTTTAATTAACTTAAACTAAGTACACACTAATACTTTTACAATAATTTACACAAAAAAAATCAAAAGAACACGTGGAAATCAACGGTTATATTCATTTAAATTTTTTACAAATTTGCTAGTAAATTACTAGTTAAATTGTAAGCGAATTGACTAGTCAATTAGCAAGTGAAAATGCGGGTCTTTGGCGATGATTTGAACTTGGATTTTGACTAGTAAATAGCAAGTAGCAAATGGAAAGTTATCAAGTGAATTACTAGGAAATTACTAGTAAATTTCTGCTAGGGAATCCATCTGATACTTAATTTATTTTTCCAATAACTCATCATCACACAGCATAACACGTACATTCATACCTAAATTAATTGACCAAACACACAAATAAGAACAATAAAGATGTTCATCATTAAACCCTGGCATTGTCAGCTTGAAGATTGTCATCGAATTCAATTAGATTTAATATTCAATACAAAATCACATACAAAGAGCTTTTGTGAAACGTAGAATCATAAGGAAATTAAAATATTGATATAGATTGATAATTAGACATTGCGCTTGATTGAATTATTTCATACTTTAGGTTGAAGTGAAAAAGAGCCTAGCAAAATAGAGAGACTAATTATAAACAAAGAATGAAAATGAATTTTCTAAATGTTTATAGGTTGTAATGATTATTAGAGTCTCGGCATGGGTTATTAAGAAATATAGCGCATATATTGGTCACTTAGTTCTCAAGATTAAATCATTATTGCAAGTTAATTTTATATTTTCCAAACAATTTGATTAAAAAATTAATGCGTTTTAGTTGATTGACTTCATTTATTCTAACTTTATCGCCGACTATGCCAAAAACGAGGATATACAATAAATACTTCACTGTCTGTGCTGAAATTGTGAATATTATTCACATAAAATATTTGTTGTCATTTTTTTTCATTGTGATCTTTTTATGTTTATCATATTTCAATATTGTAAGTCTGTTTACTGCTTAATATTAAAGAGAATATATGCAACCTGTATAAGTTGTTCGAATATATTCTTATTTTCATATGCATCATGCAGTAACGGATTACATATTATGTAGGATTACATATTAAAAAAGAGTATATTCGACGTCAAATTTAAAATAATGCTCAAAGGATTCCTGAAAAATTCATAATCTTTTTAAATATAGTTTAATCAACAGTAAAATATTAGGTGTTTAAGGTCATTAGTCTTTTCGAAAAAACCAATTTCTAGCCACTTCAAAAGCACCTCCATTTTGTACCTTCTTCAGTTTCACTGAAGTGTGGCTGAAATTCGACTGTTCAAATGATTTGAATCCTTTATGATAATTTCGTAATAATATAATCAATTTTTGTCAATCAACTCAACTAAATTTATATATGAAAAAAATCATCAAAAACACGAACGCACATGTAGTCTATGCATTTTGAAGAGAGAAATTGTCGATATTGAAATTAAATTTACATTAAAGCATTTTTTTATAAACCGATATAGAAACATTATAAAATTAATATTCGTGTAGCGTAGAAATAGCAAATATTTACAATGATTAACGTGTTTTAAAAGAACCTGCTCCAAAAAATTTAGACATAAAAAAACATTACTTAATTTGGCTCACTTAACTGCGCTTAAGGCTGTATTAAAAAAGCAGAGTAACAAGAAACAATAAAGTTTGTTTATAAAAAGAAAATCACCGATGCCGTGCTGGTCTTGATTTATAAATTAATTAACCTTGTCCTAATTATTTTCCTTTCTTTTTAACGCTTTTCCATTGCCTTTAACAACTAACCAATTAATAATGAATCAGTACTCTATGGATTTGTGTGTCTATGGATAATCCCACAAGTATCAGCAGAGTGTCAAAGTAAGAATGTTTTAATTTATTTATTTTATTGAGTGAGAACATGCTTAAATACGCAGTTTTATGCTGAAAAAAAAGATTTTTTTATAAAATGATAAGCACTCAAGGCGGTAACACTCGAGGAAAACATTTTAGCGCAAAAAAAACTTGCTGCGAGGATATCTCGAAAAACCCGAGAAATCTCTGACTCATTAAACAAAAAAAGAATACATTGGAATCAGTGTTGCATTCTGGCCTTTTGTCTGGATCAGATAAATTCTGAGACAGAAATTTCTTCATAAAGATCGATTATACATGAAGATAGAAAATCTAATCTACACAAAGATTATTTCTACATAAAGATTCTGTCTACATAAAGATTCGATGTAGATGTCTACAATTCTACATTCTTCTCTGATGTAGACCTGGAAATAATCTTTGTGTAGATTAGATTTTCTATCTTCATGTAGAATCGATCTTTATGAAGAAAGTTTCTTAGCTAGACAAAAACTATTGAAGAATCTACATTCTTCATCTAGTGTAGACATCTACATTTGCAACACTGATTGGAATTTTTAAGATTATGGATGAGAATGCTGGGATTTTTCGCGAATAATCCCAAACGTTATCGCCTTGAATACACTATTGTGATGCAACTAATCAACCTTTTTTTCTTCTTCCTCTCATGACCAAGAAAATTAAAAAAGATCAAAAAAATTATTATGTAGGAATGAAAATTCGGTGTTTTTTAATATTTCCATAAATTTTTATTAGTTGAAAATATAGAATTAGAATTATATTAACCATAAAAATTTCAAAGAAAATTATTAACAAATTCATAGACAGATTATCCATGTCCAGAAGCTTCTATACTTTTAAATTAAAAGTGGAGGTGATTTGTGGTTTTTTTGGGTTCAAGAAACGTTTTATTTGATAAAATATAATTTTAGGAGTTTTACAGATTAAAACTTTCATTATTTGAATCAGACTAATTCCTTTCGGCTATCATTGTAGATGATTTGATGACTTAACTTTTTTTAAATACTGGTTTCTGTTTAAATTTAATGAAATTCAAAAACCTTTAAAAAACAACAAGTGTCTCTTTCATTAGCAGCCATTTTTGAACCAAATTTACCTCATAGCACCCTCACGAAATATTCCCTGGTTGCTGGTTTCTGCTTACTTTATGATATTGAGTAATGAATGATATTAATTTGCTATTTTGAATTTATTTATTTTGTTCCTTTTCCTGAATATATCATCAAATAACATCAACAATGACAATAATAATAATTTCATAAATAAATTTTCATTTTTCAACCTTTTCAACGTACGCGCAATTATTAGCACGTTCGATATATTGTTATGAGTGTGATTCGTGGACAGATGCGAGATGTAAAGATCCATTCAATTATACGGCACTTCCTCGTGACCAGCCACCCTTAATGACATGCAATGGATGTTGTGTTAAAATGGTGCGCCATGCTAAAACACGTAAGTTCTTGGGACTAAATTCAAATTAATTTTTTAACATTAAATTATAATCTCGTTGAACATTTTGATATTGCTTAAATCCAAATGGATCTTTATTTTTGACATTCCAGCTTATGAGGTTGTAAGAAGGTAATTTGATGTTTTCTTTTAAAAAATTTTTTTTATTCAAATTGGTGAGACTTAAATTGAATTTGATGTTAATTATTCATCAAAAAAATTAGACGAATGACATGAAATTAGAAATTAGAATTGAAATATGTCAATATTGAGGGTATTTCTGATGTTTTAAGTCATAAACTGAAATAGAAATGATTGATTATATCCACTATTATTTGCGGCAAATAAAAATAGTGGAATGTCTAAATTGAAATGAGCAATAGTTACACATCCTATAGTCAATATTTGATTTATGTCATTGAAGGAGAACAGTTCTTCTTTTTATAAAGACAGTTTGAAGTCTTAAACTAAAAAGATATTTCAGGCGCTAAAGTGTATTGCATTTACTTTTTCATAATTTCGTGTTATTCGAGCCTAGAGAATGAAAGCTTTTAAAGATTAAAGATCTTAAAAATGAATTCATTTCTAAAACTAATGCATTTTCTTATCTCTTTTTAACATATTTTTTCGACAATCATATTAAAAATTCGTCGTTATAAAAAGGTTGTGTACATCTCAATTGCAGATAAACTTGTTTATGGTTGATGTAAGATTTTAAATCAAAAACCTTTATAAAAAATATTCAGCTTAATAACAATAACCTTTTTGTCTTGTTTTATTATAGCACGTGTGTATGCAGGAAAGTTCTGGCACTGGTCATATGGTAAGCTTTAATCATTTATAAATAAATAATGGCAAAGTTATTAATTAAATAAAATTTTTATTCTTTTCTCCACAGTGCTTCTGTGAAGATGACTTATGCAACGATGGCATTAGTCTAGCGATGTTTTCGAAAAAGCAATTACTTTTTGTCATGATATTGGGTTTTTTAACAACAATTAATTACTTGAGAAATAGATAAAAGATTGATGATTGCTGAATTATTTTCATCAAATTTTCTGTTTTTTGAAATTTAATTATTGCTTTAAAATTTTAGATCTTAAAGCTCAGAATGAAAAAAAAATCAATTGGTTAATACAAAAGAAAACCCTGTGAAATTTATTTTGAAATTTTTTTAACGGAGTGGAGATTTTTGAATACAAGTTTCTTGAATTTATTAGCTAAAGACTATTTTAAGTGTGATAAATGAGAAATATTATTTTAATATACATCAAACTATCAGTTACTTAAATTTATCACATCTTTAAAACATAGTTAAATTAACTTGCGCACAAAAATGTAAATTAAAGGAGGAATCCAAGAATTTCATTTTAAATTCAAGAAAATTTTCCAAAAAAAATTCCAATGAATTTCAACATGAGCTTTATAATTAATTGATTAATTAGGTAACAAATTGACGATACGCTAATTATACTATTAAAAATTAGAAAATTTATTTTTTGATCTTAAAACAAACCATAAAAAAAATTAAAAGGAACCATAAAAAGATTTTTCTTGCATGAATCATAAAATTTTTGCCACATTTAAAATAATTTTTTTTATGCATGAAAAAATGCAAAAATAAAGAAAATGAAAGAATGCAATAATTCAGATTATAACTTAAAGTCATAATCATTCAAAATAAGAGCTTCTCAACATTTTAACAAAATAAATACAAAGCAAATGCAGCAATTCATTCATCCATACCCCCAAAATTAACACAATCATTCATAAATCTTCATTGCATAACAGCTAAATAGATGAAATAAAATGAAGAATATGAAGAAGCATAAAATAACCTCAATCTAAAAATCCCTAAAATGCAGATAGTACTGCCAAGATGCAGATGGTAATGCTAAAGTGCAGATGAAATTTATTTTCCTTAAAATGCAGATGAAATGCTATTGCTTTAAAAAAGGTATAATGCAGATGATTTTTATCGTATAAAGTGCAGAAAAAATGCTGCCCAAATGTAGATTGTATAATTTTATTAAATTTTATCAAGTGATTTAAAATCCCAAAAAATCCCTATACAAAATGATTTAAATCATAAATCAAAAATAAATCACTTGGGTAAAACGATTTAAATCCCCTCCATGCTAATTACATCAAAATTTCGTGTAGCAAAATAATTTAAAGTCATAAAGTTTGCAATGTATTCAAAAATGCATTTTTGTTTTCCTGAAAAAATACATTTGTAGATATATCAATGAAAGCTGACAAAGTTTTAACAAAATCCACAAAAAATATTCGTGAGTGACGCTTAATTAAATTGATTTTCTCACATAACGGCTTAACTTAAGATAGTAAGTTCTATGTCAAAAGAAATCAATTTTTGTTTTTTACAAGATATAATAACTTTGAAATTTGTTACTATTGTGGTTTCGGAGATATTTAAGAATCCAAAGCGTCACTCACGAATAATTTTTTTTTTCGTCGGGGCCCAAAAAATTAATATCCAACGTTAAATTATCTACATTATAACAACATTCCATCTTTATTTTAATAAAATTATACGATCTACATTTGGGCAGCATCTTATCTGCACTTTATACGATAAAAATCATCTGCATTATACCTTTTTTAAAGCAACAGCATTTCATCTGCACTTTAGCAGTACCATCTGCAGCTTGGCAGTACTATCTGCATATTAGGGTAGCTGCATTTTATGGATTTCTAGATTGAGGTCATAAAATAAGCTTCAGCACAAACACAAGCTAGACTTAAAATGTTTTCTTTTGCACTAGGAGAAGTCAAAAGAACAGCATATAATGCTTTATCGCAATATTCTGTTACACTCTCTTTTGAATAGTTACTAATAGTTTCCACATTAGATCAAATGACGGTACAAAAGTCGTGCGGAGGTAAAAAATGCCAAGCTTTATGTACAAGACTTTATTTTGAAAGAGATTTGTTTTAGAAATTTTTATGTGTAAGACTGAGTTCTGCTGAGTTAACTTTTTTCAGCGATTTGTTATGATTTTGACTCGGGCTTCTTTGAACAGCCAAATTTAAAATCATAATATGATTTAATAATCATAATTTTATATGTTTCCAGGGCTCGAATTTGATAGGGTTCGACTCGACTCAAAACCAACCAGTCATTTCGCAACTCTAGTTCCTTTTCTTTTCCCACTCATCAGTTCTCTAGATATTTCCGCTTTTCAAAACCAGCATGTTATGCATAAAGTTTGGCTTCTCGTGAATAAAACTCCTTATGCTTTTTAAATTTGTTCCATGCCAATGCTCAAAGTGAGTTTACTTATAGAAGCATTAAATTTCCTTTGTAAGTTACATCAATCTATCCTCATTATTCGTCTTTATTATTTTACAATGAAGAAAATGATGTGCTGTCCATTTTGCGCTGATTTTGAAAATGAAAAAAGCTCACCTAATATTTAAAAGAAACGAAGAAAAGTTTCCGGATTAAATGTACATAATAATATCATCATATATCGATGTTAAAGGTTTTCAAATTCTGTGTATTAAATATATACATAGGAATAAATATGAATAATGTTTCATTGTGGTTTGCAATGTTTCAAGTGTGCCAAAAAGGCAATAAATTGACTCTTTGTGTCACTCGGACATATACATCACTTTATTCTTAAAACGCTTGTCCTTAATGTGTAAAGACATTAAAATAATCTTTTGTAACAAAACACAGACACAAATGAGGGAAAAAAAAAGTTTGGAATATTTTTTAATAAAAAGCATAAATATAAACAGATTTAGATTTTACACCAAAAAAAGTTTTTTTTTTGTTAAAAACAGTTAACATAACATTTGAAAAAAAGTGAAGGAAAGAGAAAAAATAAAAAGTTTTAAAAATCTGATTTTTATTTTTCTTTTAGATTTTTGGGGGTTGATTTGGATGTGCTGAGAAGTAGGAGAAAGTCAGGAGATAAACATACAACAATAAAATAAATCTTGCTGTCTTAATGGAAACGGTTAAACATAGTTATAAGCTAGGAAAACTCTGTATTAAAAAAATCAACCAAAAACCGACCCCCAAAAATCCTCTTCGCTTTTTTTTTAATAGTCATTTAGCGTTGACATTTATTTCTTTTCCATTTTTTTAAAAATAGATGTGTTGCATGATTAAATCTGATTAAATATTTAATTTATTCTTCCTAGAATAATTTATTGATATTATATAATTTTATTGATAATTAGGACTTAACTTAAGCATGGAAAATATACGCTTCTTTAGGTAATGTAACGGGATTGAACGACTTCATGAGTTGAAACTTGATGTAATGTTGCATGAATAAAACATTTGCTTATATTTTTTTTAAAGTTATGAATGCTTGGTAATGGTTTTTACAGTAAAAACGTCCCATTGCATAAAAGGTAAATTTTAAGTACAATGTAAACTTAAATGAATGCACGTTAATAACACTTTTTTTTCCTCAACCAAAGTTATTGCAATTTTAACAACACTAGTTTTTCAATTCACACGTCATCATGTAGACTTTGATTGCACCCTACTAAAAGTTAGTGTTAAAAACGTGTGATAAATTGGTTGGTTTTTGTAAGCTTGAAAATATTTTTATCTTCAACAGTCTTACTTGCGTGGATATTCCTCTTCCTAGTTGTGTAATAAATTGAAGTTTCAATAAAAAATAAATCTCTTAAAGAGGGATTTGAATGCATTTTTAATCCAGCTTTGTACATTACAACAAAAAATTTCCTTCAATATTCAACAGCTTGTGATAAAAATTTCACGACTGCAAATAGCTTGCAAAATTTTCAACTTATAAATAAATCATGAAAGCCTTCACGGCTTTTTGAAAATCTGTCGTACAAAGCTTAATTTTCCGCAAAAAATCATGAATGATATATATCAAGAGAAATAAATGTCAATCAATGTACGAAGCATACTGAAATGCTTCTATTTTAATCATGAAACAACACTAAATTCAACACTCAATACTACATCCTTTTTCACAATACGGAATACTTGTTCAAGCAAAAATGCAAGATTTTCATAAAGTTGAGATACTTAAGACTTGATGGTTTTTTGTGTGGCGGAAATAAAATTCTTGTTATCATACAACTTTAAGGAAGAACTTAGAGACGCTGCGAAAAAAAAAATATTTTCAAATCTCCTGCGTTTGTTTTTTGGTACAAATATGTTAAATGCACTAAATTGAGAATGGTATTAAATTGGAATGCATGAGTTATTTTCATCAGATGATCACGAAAAAGAACTGAGATCATCTTATCTAATTTTTCTAAACAAAAAAAAAGAAGTATTTTAAAAATTTAATTGAGAGTTAATAAATATTCTCGAAAACATGCTCAATGACTTTTTGACCTTTAAGTAAACCGAATTAATAAAATAGCATTAAAAAATTAATTATAATATTTGAAATAAAAAAGCACATTTGAGTAGACTAGAAAAAAAATGTAAAAGAAAAACTTCAAAAAATAATTAAATCAAATTTAAAATTATGTTTAATACTTTTGAAAAAAGTCTTGTAAAAAGTAACAAAACACAAAATATCTTTTTTAAAAATTTAACTACTTTCATCTTAAAATTTTGATTGCTTGAGGAAATTATTCGAAAAAATAATTAAAATATCCTGGATAAAGATGAGATGAAATTCATATAAAAAAATTTTATGTGGTAAAATGAAATTTTAAGCATGACATAACAAAGCATTAATCACGAATAGTCCTCATCAATTAATTTTTTTTCCTTCAATCTACCTAGTTAAACTCTTTAACTAATTTCTTTACTACTAAATAGTTTAGATATAGTTCTAACATACTTTTAAGTTTGGAAAAAATATAATATAGTAAAAAATTATTTTGGTCATGGAATTTTTTACCTAGAAAATCACTTGTTTTTAAGCAAATTTGAGTCAATAGAATTTAACAAAAAAAAAAATCTAAAACTAATGAAACTAAGTTTTATTTGCTCCTTTTGTAATAATTATTTTGAATACTTACTTCTTTCTTAACTCACTTAATCATTAAAAAAAGGTAGCTGAAA